TCCTAACCCAGTGCCGCCCCATGTCGGCAAGTATGTGCAACGCCATCAAATTCCTTAACAAGGAAGTCACTGGGATAAGCAGCTCCAAGCGGGAAGAGGAGGTGATGAAGGATCCTGGGAGTGGGAAAGGCATGCACCTGTGGTTAGGATAAACAGCATGTTCTGAACTCCCAGAAGACGTGTATAGACATGCCACAGGGCCCTAGTCACAGCTTAGGGGAACACTTAGGTGCTTGCACTCAGACCTATAGTTATATATACTTATGCAAGCAAATGGCATGGGGATTTTTGTTTTAAGACAGTCTGTGTAGTCCTGGCTGACCTAGAGCTCAATAGATAGGCCAAGTTGGCCTTGGATTCAGAGACCCTCCTGCTTCCCCGGTGTTGGGATCAAAGGTGTGTGCCACTATGCTTGGCATGTGTGGCATGTCAACCAGAGGCTGAACTGTGTCTATGTTCTCTCAACATTTAGGCCAAGTCAGAACTTAGAGAAGCCATTGACCGGTATGTGCAAGAGAAGATTGTGCTTGCATCTCAGGCAATTTCACGATTTGCTTCTAAGAAGATCAGTGACGGGGATGTGATCCTGGTTTATGGATGGTATGGTCCACACCCGACTGAGAAAACTGGGGAGGGGATGTCAGAGGAGAAGGCTGCCTTTGCCTTCGTGTGCTGCCAGCTTTAATAACATTTCTCCATCCTGGGGAGGGGATGTCAGAGGAGAAGGCTGCCTTTTCCTTCGTGTGCTGCCAGCTTTAGTAACATTTCTCCATCCACATCTAGCTCCTCTCTGGTGTCAAGAATTCTCCAAGAGGCCCGGGTCGAGGGCAGGCGGTTTCGGGTGGTGGTGGTGGACAGCCGACCTCGGCTGGAAGGAAGGCACATGCTCCACTCTCTTGTCCGTGCTGGGGTCCCTACCTCCTATCTGCTGATTTCTGCAGCCTCCTATGTGCTCCCAGAGGTGAGGGTTCTCACAGGATAAAAGAGAAAGATATAGTAACATTGGCATAAGTATTAACTTTTGTTTGTTTTTTTTTTTTAAAGAAAAACAAAAAAAGGCATTTATTTATTGTGACAGGGAATAGGAATAGTGTTGGGTAGGCAAAGGCAGTGTGCCCCAGTCTCCACATGGAAGTCAGGAGACCATTCAGAAGAGTCAGCTCTTTCTTTCTCTTCTTTCTTTCTTTCTTTTTTTTTTTTTTTTTTTTTTTTGGTTTATTGTTTTTTTTGTTTTGTTTGTTGAGACAAGGTTTCTCAGTGCACAAGTCCTATCTGGCTGTTCTGGAGCTTGATTTGTAGATCAGACTGGCCTTGAGCTCACAGAGATCTCCTGCCACCATACTGGACTGAATCAATTCTTTCTTTCCACTATTCATGTCTCGAGGATAGAAACTCAGAATGCCAGCCTGCACAGTGACTTTACCCAGTGAGCCACCTTAATGGCCCTTACCTCTTATTTATTTATGTGTTTGTTTGTTTGTTTGTTTTGGGGAAATAGGGTTCTCTGTGTAGCCTTTTTTGGAGAGGAGGAGGGGAGTCAAGGTCTCATTGTGTAGTCCTGGCTGGCCTAGAACCCACAGAGATCTGCTTGTCTTTGTTTCCCAAGTACTGGGATCAAAGCTGTGTGCCACCACACCCAACACTTTTATCCTTAATAGGAAAAAGCAACTAGCTTCTGGGTGTGGCATTTGGGAGGCAGAGGCAGATGGATCTCTGAGTTCAAGGACAGCCTGGCCTACAGAGTTCCAGGACAGCCAGGGCAACCCAGAAAAACCTTGTCTTAAAAAACCAACAGACCCAGCACTCGGGAGGCAGAGGCAGGCGGATTTCTGAGTTCGAGGCCAGCCTGGTCTACAGAGTGAGTTCCAGGGCTACACAGAGAAACCCTGTCTCGAAAAAAAAAAAAATGACTGAATTTAACTGGCCCCTGGCTTTAACTTTCCAAGTGCTGCGGTTATAGATGTGCACAAACACTTGTATCTAAGACACTGGGGACTGAGCCCAGAGCTTCATGCATGCATCCCAGGCAAGCATCCAACCAGCTCAGCCATGCTCCTAGTCCTTTGGGCAGTGAGGGGGTTGGTTTTGTCTTTTGAGACAAGTTGTTGGCTATGATGCTAGAGTTGATGGCTCAGGCCTGTAACCCAGCATTTAGAAGGCAGCAACAAAGGAATCAGACTTCAAGGCCACAATGAATTTAAGGCCAGCCTAAACTACAAGGGAACCTGTCTTTAACAAAAAGGAGACTGAGAAAGATTGCTTACTACTCTTGCAGAGGACCTGGTTTTCAGATTCCAGAATGCAGGTGCCTCATCTACTTCCAGTTCCAGAGGATCTAATGTCCTTAGGCTTTCAACATGTGGTGCAAATAAACTCGCACAGGTATACACACATAAAAATAATATTTTAAGGGGCTGGAGAGTTGGCTCAGAGGTTAAGAGCACAGACTGCTCTTCAAGAGGTCATGAGTTCAATTCCCAGCAACCACATGGTGGCTCACAACCATCTATAATGAAATCTGGTGCCCTCTTCTGGCCTGCAGGTGTACAAACAGGCAGAACACTGTATACATAATAAATAAATAAATCTTTAAAAAATAATAATATTTTAAAATGGTGTTGGGGGGCTGAAGAGATGGCTCAATGGTTAAGAACATTGGCTTCTCTTCTAGAGGTCCTTAGTTCAATTCCCGGCAACCACATGGTTGCTCACAGCCATCTGTAATGGGATCTGATGCCCTCTTCTGGTGTGTCTGAAGAAAACTACACTGTACTCATATAAAAAAATGATGTTGACTTTCCTCACGTCTTTCAGTTGCTGGGGGATTGCAGGTACAAGCCACAGTGCTTTGCTTTTATGGGCTTCAGGTTAACATACAATGTAGGAAGGGAGACAAAGTATCTTCTTCAATATGAGCTTAACAGGATCCTAGAATGATAATGAAACGACTAGATCTAGCATAGGTCTAGCATTGTCTTCACTAAATAACATCTGACCAAGTCCTTGAAAAATATTTTCTCAGTAAAAGAATCAGGAGGCAAAGCAGCAGAAAAAAAAAAAAAGCTTAGACATGAAAATTAGTCCCCCCACCCCCAAAAAAAAAAAACAAAAAAAAGAAAAAAAATTAGTCCCTAGAGGAAATGGCCAGTTTCAGAGTCAAGAATGATGCTAGAGGCGAAGCTCAGTGTTGATAGCTAAAGCTGCAAAGGTCGGCTGGGGCTTGACGGAGGGACCAGGGACTAGTAACCTGTGCCACAGCAATCATCTATGTGTCTATAACGGTGTATTTTGTTGTGTTTTTAAATTTTCATGTAGGACAAAGGGAGAGTGAACTATGCACAGAATTCTTGTCATAGATGGGACAATTACCAAAACTTGTCACTTTTTGTTTCCTTTGAGGCAAGGTCTCACAGCCTTGAATTCTGTAGCTAGTTAGTGCTGGCCTTGAACTCAGGCTCATCCCACTACCACTTCCCAAGAGCCGAATGAAGGCGGCTTCTGTTTGATTTTATTACATTTCCTTGTGTGGTGGGGCACATGAAGCAGCCAGGAGACAACTTTATCTCTCCAGCCCTTAGTTTTTTCATTGATGAAGCTACTGTATGGGAAATCCCAGACACTAATCATTTTTATTCTTGCAGACTTGGATGTGTCTTTTAAAAATATGGAAATCCCCAAGTACCAAATAATGCTTCCTTACTATTATCTAACCCGTAAACAAGTGTCCATGGTTGTTTCAAAATTGGCGTTTTTCTGGCAGGTCACTGTGAATCAGAGTTGAAACCAATGCATACAACTGATTGTATTTCAAAAAGCTGGCTGAGCTGTGGCTCAGTGGCAGAACATCTCACCAGCCCAGTCTGTAGATCTTGTGATTCTATCGCTGGCACTCAAAAGTAACATATTTATTTTGGGATGACTTTTTTATAAAAAAAAAAAAAGTAGTAAAAACTTCATTTCTCTAAGCCTGTAATTTCCTATCTACCTGTTTGGTAGGGATACCTAAATGGGTCAAAGTGCTTCATATTGCTTTGTATCAGGAAGCAAACAATGGTGTGTGATTTTATTTTTAGTAATGAGTGTGTCCTGGGATTTTAAGGTTTCCCTGAACTTTTCTTTTTTTTTTTGTTTGTTTGGGTTTTTTTTTTTTTTTTTTTTGGTTTTTTGAGACAGGGTTTCTCTGTGTAGCTCTCTGGCTGTCCTGGAACCCACTCTGTAGACCAAGCTAGCCTCGAACTCTAAAACTCAAAAATCCGCCTGCCTCTGCCTCCCAAGTGCTGGGATTAAAGGTGTGCGCCACCACCACCCGGCTTTCTTTTTTCATCTAGTGATTTTATCCAACTGTTAATGGCTATCTGAATAATTGCACTGGAATATAAAAGTGGTTCTCTTCTTTTTCTTTTTAAAGATTTATTTTTATTTCATGTACGTGAGTACACTGTAGCTATCTTCAGACATGCCAGAAGAGGGCATCAGATCCTATTACAGATGGTTGTGAGCCACCATGTGGTTGCTGGGAATTGAACTCAGGACCTCTGGAAGAGCCGTCAGTGCTCTTAACTGATAGCCAGCACAGGGAAGGTTGAGGCAGAAGAATCATGTATCTGTGGCCAGTGTAGGCAGCTACATAATCCAAATGAGAAAGGGAGGGTGGGAGAGTAAGTCCCTCACAACACTTTGTTTTTCTAAACTCTAAATCATACTCGAAAGGCAGGATAAATACTTAATTGCTCTCTTATACTCTCTAGTTCTTGTTTCTCAGACAGGGTTTTACCACATGGGCCAGGCTGTCCTTGAAGGGCACTTGGCTTTCCAAGTGCTTTGATGTGCTGGGTCTCCAGGTTTTGGACTGCCATAGTTGGTGGGTTCTTTTTATTTTAGGTCAGTATAAGTATCATTTTTATATTGAGTGTACCACTCAGTCACCACATTAGAGCAAATCAACAGGGTCAGGTTCATGCTTTAGAAAGATAACTGTCAAGAAATTAGAGAATGAGACAGAACATCTAAAAGAATGTTTATTGACTAAAACTAAAATCTAAACATTGGCCCAGTAATTCAACTTCAAGGCATTCATCCTAGCCATACGGTAGCATGTCTGAAGGAACTTAGACATTAATTATAGCAGCAATGTTTCTTTGTTTTTTAACAAAATCTCAATTGTTCAATTTTACCAATGAAGACTTGTTGGGAATCAGATGCTGGGGCGAAAGCCTGCTATCTCAGAGAGGCAGAGAAAACACGCAGCTGGTCTTCCACCTCAGTTGACATCTCTTATGCCCCTCCTCAAACAGAATGTCCCTCCCTCTATTTCCTGTTCATGTCTCCCTGATTCCTTCTTAATCTATGTTTTTTTTCTTTATAATGCTACATTCACTTCTGTCAACTGGTTGCTTGTTCTACCCCTTGACCCATAGTTGACTTTATTTAATCCTGTTTACAATATTCAATAGTATAATATTGGATTAAAGGTGTGTGCTAAGGCTGAGCCACACCACAACTCAAAACAGGTTATTCCAGTTAATAACAATCTCAGAGGTCAAGCCGGGCAGTGGTGGCGCACGCCTTTAATCCCAGCACTTGGGAGGCAGAGGCAGGTGGATTTCTGAGTTCGAGGCCAGCCAGGGCTACACAGAGAAACCTTGTCTCGAAAAACCAAAAAAAAACCTCAAAGGTTACAGTATGATCAAATATCCTGCAACAGCAATGCAGTAACAGAAGCCCAGAAACCACATATATACGCAGTAGTATCAGTAAAGGACTAAATAATTAACTGCATACAGTTACAAACTAAGTAATTAGCCACATAGTTACATACTAAATTAAGTAGTCAAGAAGACTTTCATATACAAAAATAAAACAGTGTTTAGGAGTATGTTCGGTTAAAAATAGCCAGGCAGGAGTTATTAAAGTTATTTAAAATTTTTTGTGATAAAACCAAAGAGAGCTTAACCAGAGGCAGCAGGATGTTAAGTGATTTTGTTCATCACAGCACTAAATGTTACTCCCTACAAAATGTTTAGCAGCCCTTATCTAAAAAAGGAAGACAGCCATTCAAAATGCTGTTTTTTTGAGCATAAGGGGATGTCGGAGAACTGGGTGTTCTCTTTCTCTCCTTTCAGATTTTGGCTATATCCCTCTTTTTCTTTTTCTGTAGGATATAGGATTACCCAGGCAGGACCTTAAGTCCTAAACTCAAAAGATCTTTCTGCTTCAGCCTTGAGTACCTAAAGACTAGTGGTGGGAGCCGTCGTGCCCCGTTTTTCATCTTTTTGAGACAGGGTCCTATATAGTACAGGCTGGTTTCCAACTTCCAAGTAGTCAAGGATGCCTTTGAACTACTGATCCTCCTGACTCCATCTCCAGAGTACTGGGATTTTTCGTAAATATTTCACCAAGGGAATTAACGGACAAGACTATTTAGAAAGGGAAAAGCTAGCTTATTTCAGCTCTTCCTGTTCATTTTATTCACTCTCCTCCTGTGTAAGGGCAGACCTATTAAAAGGCTCTGGAAAACCTGTTGCTCTTGTTTCTGTCATTGGAGGCCACCTCCCAGTGAGGGAGTGGCGAGAGGCCTGGGCTGACGCTCTCTTTTAAAAGCGCAGCCTACCCACACAGGCTCGTCCCCGCTTTTTTCTTCCCTTGGCCTCTTTCCAACCCTCCCCCCCGTCTTTATTTTCTTCCTGTCTTGGCTCATTCACTGGCAGCAGAAAATCAGTAGATCTCTGGCGGCGAGGGACTGTCTCCTAGTCCGTCGAAGCTCGGGACTGCAGTTAAGAATCGGTGTGGTCTGGCTCTTTCCGCCACAAAGCCAGCAACCTGGGTGGAAGGGCAGGTCGGAACGCTCGGCGACAGCAGAAGCGCGACACTTTGCTCTTCAAAGCTTTTCGGCAAGGCTGCTGGCGAGGCCACAGTGCCGCGCAGGCGCCGACCTCCCCTTCCGGTGGCTGAAATTCCCAGAAGGCCTTGCAGTGTCCTAGGGCCGCGGAAGCCACGCTCCAGCTCGCAGGCGTCGGAGGGCTCAGCGCTACGCCGCGCTGCATTATGGAACACAGAGTTTAATAGAAAGCTCGGCAGGGAACACATTCCAGACCAAGCTTGCGTTTACATTGCCTCGGGGGCGGGGCAAGGAAGAGCCGATCAAGATTTCGTCATAAAACCGCGACCCGGCAGGCGGCGCCATCTTCGAACTTGGACTTCCGGAAGGACTTTGGCGCGGGTGAGTGTACCGCAACGGGGTGTGCGGGGGACCCAGAATTACTCCTCCCATTCTTTTGCCGTAGCGCTAAAGCAATGGAAACCAATTCCCGATTCTTCTCTTATCCCCGCGCAAGGCAGCGCGCCTCCTAGCCTTTGCGCTTCTCCCGAAAACCGTCGAGCTCTCACCCCCGTACCCACTGGGGCCACTGAGCATCCCCCATCTCTGCCAGCCGGTCTTACCTTCTTCCCCGACTCGGTGTATGTAGCGCGTTAAACTGGGTCCAGGCTTCCGGGCTGCTTACGTTGAACTCGTTACGTTGGGCCTTTGGACTCGGGTGAACCTGCTGTTGTCCTCAGGCTTAGGGAATTCAGGGCTCCCCTGCTGCTCGAAAGCTGCCCCCACGGTCAGGATTGAGGAATGGCAGGTGGTGGTGTCTCTACTGATTGCAGTCCGTCCTCTTGTGCTCATTCCCTCATACTGTGTCTCAGCCTTTTCCTCCAAGTGGCTCTAACCCCGGGGGTTGTGCCCCGCGCGCTGCAACCCCATTGGCGCAGCCAAGGGCCAGTTATGTTTCCTTGTCTGGTCCTTTTATCCCGCGGCAAGTTGGCCGTCTTTTGGACAAGACAGAGATGGCGACTTCACCCCCACAGGAGGTAATTCACTTTTCTGGATAGGTTTAGGATATAACCAGATCTTTTTCCCCTTGGTGGCATATTGTTACATAAATTTAAATTAACCTTTGCTAACGTTACCTTTTACCGTTATCAGCTGTAGTGCCATGTTCTTAGTAGTTTAAGGTGTTCTACTTTTCAAAGTTACACTCTTTAGTTTTTAGCAGTATCAACTGAAAACGTGAATTGCAGGTTTCTGTGCAAATAACATGTTCGTTTTTGTACCAGTAAAATTATCTGATATATCACCATTTGCATGATAGGAATACTTTGGGAACCAGTGTATTAAACAGTGTATGTGAAGTGATCCCATGTTTAAGATGTAGTATTATTTAATTGTTCTTTTGCCAGAGTAGTCAGGTTAGCAGCCTGAAGCAGCAAGGAAATCAGACAGTTTGGGATGTAAAAACTCTAATGAGAATTTACTGAACATTTCTTCCTTTACTGTTTAATTTGTATTGTAAGATCCTAAATAGAAATTCTACCACTCACTGCTACTGCCTTTCACAAGAAGTGATTCTTGAAAAGGATTTTTTTGGTATGTTGAGTCACTCGGTTTAAAAAACAGTTATATGTTAATTCATGCATGGAGTTCAAATACTGTAGTAAACCATGTAGGCAAGATCTTAGGAACTTCCAAAGAAGATAGAGTTTGTCTTACTGCAGTCTGAATATTGTTCTGTTGTTATTATTTGTTTTGCAAGGCCACTTTCTTTGAGACAGGTTTTTATTCCTGGTTGGTCTGGAATTTCAGATCCTTCAGCTTCAGCTCCTAAGGGCTGAGATGAGATTGCAAGCATTCACTATCATGGCCAACTGAAACCTTTAAAATTTGAAGTTAGACTCTGTTTCATAGCTACAGTTACCATAGCTACTTAATTTAATGTTCTACTGTTGTAAATGATGCCAGTCTTTGATATTACAGTTTCTCTATTAGAAAGTCTACCTAACTACCTACCTCCCTCCTTCCCTCCCTCTCTTTGTTCCTTCCTGTACTGGAGATTGACTCCAGGACTTTGGGAAATGCTAAGCAAGTGTTCTACCCCTGAGCTATTTCTCTAGCTCATAGATAAGAAAAAATTTAAACTTGATCCAGGATGTCATGCTGCTGCCTTTACAGGAATGATTTCTCAACTTAGGAAGGCTTTCTCAAGGCTGTAATTCTTTTCTGATTTCAAGTATCTGTGAGAACTTAGAAGCAGGTCTAGTGCCTTTCTTCTGTAGGTGACTCATCCCAACCGTGCTGAGATGAGCATAGTTGTTCCCTTTTGAAATTTAGTGTTTTCATTCAGATCCTTTTCGCTGTAATAATTGTTTATTGATTTATTTCTTTTTTGTATGATAAGCCATTTCTTTATTTAACATTTATGGGTGCTTTGCCTGCATGTATTGATTGTATGCATGTGCACCTTTTATGTGCCTGGTGCTCTCAGAGCTCAGAAGGCATCAGATCCTTTGGAATTGTAGTTGTGGTTGATTGTGAGCTTACCACATCGGTGTTGGGAACTAAACTCAGGTCTTCTCAAGAGCATCAAGTGCTCCTAACTGTGGAGCTATCTCTGCAGCACCCCAGTAGATGTTCTTGATTTATAAATTGAGGTCTTCCTTATTTCAGTATTTTGGAGGGAGTTTGAGAGGAGACAGGATCTTACTGTATCCCTGCTGGCCTGGAAGTCTCCATATTCCTGCCTGTGATACTCTGCACTGCTGGGATTACAGGTGTGCTGTAATACCTCTCTTCTTTTAAATTTTTTGTTTTGTTTGAAACATGGTCTCAATTATGTAGCTCTGGCTTGTCTAGTAATCCTGATCATGTGGCACCAGCCCCAACATCTCCTAACTTTTTTTTTCTCTTAAACATTGAGCTTGCGCTCTTTCTCTCTCTCTCTCTCTCCCTCCTTCCCTCCCTCCCTCCCTTGCTTCCTCCCCGCCCCCATTTTCATTTTTTAATTTGTGAGGTGGGGTGGGTGGGGCTCTTGTGTTTTCCAGGCTGCTCTTAAACTCCTGCCCTAGGCATACCTCCCAAGTCATCACACTTGTCTTCTTTCTTAAAACATAAATTTCTTGCCGGGCAGTGGTAGCACACGCCTTTAATCCCAGCACTTGGGAGGCAGAGGCAGGCGGATTTCTGAGTTTGGGGCCAGCCTGTTCTACAGAGTGAGTTCCAGGACAGCCAGGGCTACACGGAGAAGCCCTGTCTCAAAAAAACAAAAAAACAAAACAAAAAAAGAACCCATAAATTTCTTAAATCAGGGATGGTGGCGCATATCCCTGCGAGACAGCCCAGAGAGACAGCCAAATTCTTGTCAAGTCAAAGCCAGCCCAGGCAACATAGTTTGAATCTGCCTTAAAAACAACAGAGTCCATCAATCTACTACTTGTTAGCTATCGTCTTTCCTTCTCTTCTGTCACTAATGTCATGTTTATCATGTCCTTTTTATAGGTAACTCTTCAGTCTGTGGCTTTTCTCAGCCTGTCTTTGATCTTTGTTGAGCGGTATAGTTTTATTTAATGCGCTCTTTATCCTCTGTGGACTTTGGTTTTTACTTGACTCCTTTTCTTGCAGCAACTTCCGGTTTACTCAGGCCCCCTGCCATTGTTTCTTTTGTTTCCTAGATCCTGTAGTGTTTGTGTTTGCTGAAAACTTTCTTCTGTTTTCTGGACTAGTTCTTTTGAAAGGTACTTTTTAACTTTGTTTTCCCCTCCTGTTCTGTCTGTGCATAATTCTCACATTGGTTTCTTTTTTGCTTATTAAGGGATACAGGTCTTCTATTTACCGAAGAACAGTGACATCATATACAGTATCTTTAGCATATGAGGCTGCATTGTATTCTCATCAGTTGAGTTAGAAGGTTCATTGCTGTCATTTGTAATCTAACTATAGATACAAGAAAGGTAGGGACTCTAACTTACAAATTTCATTTAGTGTTTATATGAGCACACCTTTCCATTGAGGCTGGTGAATTCTTTAACTTTTAGTTATGTCTCAACCTATGGAGGGGTCCCACCTGGGATTTGAACTATTTCTTCCCCTTTGTCAAAGGCAAACAGGGTGTTCTGACCCAAAACTGGACCCTTACAGAGTTGTATTTACTCAAACTTGCCAATCTCCTTGGTCTGTGATTATATATCTGATATTTCTGGAATCATAAAGATTGAAGATACTTTAGGCCATTATTTGGTTTAAGAAAGTTCTCTTAATGTGATAGGATGATCTTTAATTGTATTGGGCATCCACTGTCCCCAATTCAAATGTAACATTGATGGCTAGGTTCCAAAAACCCTTATTCTTGTTTTGTTTGTTTCTTTTTCTTTTTCTTTTTTTTTTTTTAAGGCACGATCTCATGAGGCCAAGGCTAGCCTTGAACTCCTGCCTCCACCTTTCAAGTGCTGGGATTTCAAAGTACTCTTCCCTACCTAGCTCAGTACAGCTCTTATTCTTAAGGAAATCTGTTCCTCTACTAATATTCACAGAAATGGATGTCATGTCTGGGTATCCTACTTTAGTTTGGTCTGTTTTATAGCATCTGGGAACTCTTCATGTTTAATAGTTAAGAGTCTTGACATATTATACCCCAAGCTGGCTCCAAATTTTTGGGCTCAAATTATCCTTTTGGGGGCTGGGGAGATGGCTCAGTGGTTAAGAGCACTGACTACTTCCGGAGGTCCTGAGTTCAATTCCCAGCAACCACATGGTGGCTCACAACCATCTGTAATGGGATCTAGTGCCCTCTTCTGGTGTGTCTAAGGATAGCTACAGTGTACTCATATACATTAAATAAATAAATAAATATTTTTTAAAAATTATCTTTTTGGTTCAGTTTCCATAGTTGCTGGGACTTGGTACAATACCTTCACACCTGCTTGGCCTCTGTCATTTAGTCTGTTTTATTAGGAAGTTATGATTCTTCCCCAGAGGTGCATACTTTTTGTCTCCTTTTCCATTGTGGTAGGGGATCTGAATATGATTTATTTCATTTATATATTGACTTCCATATATTTACAACATATAAGAGGTATAAATAACGTTCATAAAGCATGTAGTATTTTGTTTGGCATGTAGTAAACAGTTAATGATAGTTTATTATCGCCGGGCAGTGGTGGCGCATGCCTTTAATCCCAGCACTTGGGAGGCAGAGGCAGGCAGATTTCTGAGTTCGAGGACAGCCTGGTCTACAGAGTGAGTTCCAGGACAGCCAGAGCTACACAGAGAAACCCTGTCTTGAAAAACCAAAAAAAATAAAAAAATAGTTAATGGTAGTTTATTATCTGTTTACTTACTGTTTATTTACTACATGAGAATGTAAAATCTCAAGAACTTAGTATCTTGCCTGTTTTTGTTTTCTTTTCTAAAACAGGGGCTTGAGTGTACCCCAGCCTGGTTTCAAACTCACAGCATCTCCTGCCTCAGCTTCCCAGAAGCTGGGATTACAGGTGTATACCACCGTGCCTAGCTCCTTTTTGTCTTAATTGTCATTTACTAGGTCCTAGAGCAGTGCTTAACATAGTACTTTGTGGGTTGAGGGTGCTTATTTGGTTCTTGAGGAGGGCACACATGTGGCCAACCGTGTAGAGGTCAGAATGCAACTGTAGAGGTTGTTTTTCTCCTTACACATGCCATGTGGAGCAGGGGGATTGAATTCAAGTCATCAGGCTTGGCAGCAAGCATCCTAACCTACTGGGCCATCTTACCACACCAGTAGTTACTTGAATGAATGAATGAATGAATGATCAGAATGCTTGAGTTTCTGGTTGTGAGATGATGGGGGGAAAAGAGAAAAATCAGAACCTCTACAAGTAGCCTCTCTGTTACACTCATTGCTGTATCTCTGTATGCAGGGCAGCCATTTTGGGGGGTGCAGATGGATGCCTGCGGGGTCGGCTATGTTGCCCTGGGGGAGGCCGACCCCGTGGGGAGCATGATTGTGGTAGACTCTCCTGGACAAGAAGAACTAAGCCAGCTGGATGTCAAGGCCTCCTCAGAATCGTCCAGTGTAGAGGCTTCCATCGAGATGTCACTACCTCCTCCTTTGCCTGGATTCGAGGATTCTTCTGACAAGAGGAGGCTTCCTCCAGATCAGGAAAGCCTCACCAGGTTGGAACAGCAAGGTATGTGCCTTGCTCTCACTCTTTTTGCTTAGCTTAAAACCGTAGTGTGGATTCAGCCCACAGGTTCTTAAGAACTTGGGTGCAGTATACTGTACTCCAAAGCACTTGAGCTCTGATCCCATCTCACAGACCATATTCTTCTCTACAGATCTTTCTTCAGAGATGTCAAAGGTCTCAAACCCTAGGGCCTCAAAGCCATCCGGGAGGAGAGGTGGTAGGACACCAAGGGGCGCTAAAAGGCCTCAGCAACGTAAACCTCCATCCACCCCTCTGGTTCCTGGTCTCTTAGATCAGTCCAACCCTCTGTCCACCCCCATGCCTAAGAAACGAAGTCAAAAGTCCAAGGGAGACCTGCTACTATTGAAGTTGTCCAAAGGCCTAGATCAGCCAGAGTCTCCACATCCAAAGAGGCCCCCCGAGGACTTTGAGACCCCTTCTGGGGAACGACCCCGCCGAAGGGCTGCCCAAGTGTAAGGATTGTGGGGCACAGCCTGGTAGAGGGGTGGTGGTGGAGGTGGGGAGGTGGGGCAGATGTTGGAGAGATGGGAAGATTGGTGAGGTATCAGGTAAGTAGGGGTGGTATCTGGGTTCTGGGTGGGGGTAACCCTTTGGCTCGTAAGATCCACTTTTGTGGTATGTGTTGCTAACTTTTTGTATCTAAGTGATTTCTTTCTGTACTTCATACTCCATCACATTTTTGTTTGTTTTGTTTTTGTTTTGAGACAGGGTGTCGCTGCCCAACCCAGGTTGGCCTCGAACTTGCGATCCTCCCACCTCAGCCTCCCGAGTGCTGGGATTGCAGGCGTGCGCCACCACACCTGGCTCTCCATCACATTTTTCACAGACTTCCCCCAGGTCTTCATTGCTTTTACCACTCAATTTATTTCAGTGTTTATGTGCCTTGCCTTCTTTCCCTTGCCCTTTATGTTCTATGTGGTAGAGTAAAGAGTGCATTGGCCTAGCATTAGAAAGCCTATCATATTCCTTGGTGTCTGGCTTGCCTGTGCCAAGTCATTTAATTTTCCTGGATTTCTATTTCTGCATTTATTGGAGGGAAGGGGAAACTAGTAGCTGCTTCACAGCATTACTGAGATCCATAAAGCAATAATAAAGTCTATAAATGTGGGCTCTGTTTAGTGCTTGTGAGGATGGCTCTGACTCCACCCTATCCCACAGGGCACTTCTGTACCTTCAGGAACTAGCTGAAGAACTCTCCACAGCCCTGCCCACACCACTGACTGCTCCCAAGAGTCCCAAGGTGAGCAGCCCCACAAAGCCGAAGAAGACCCGGCAAGCCGCCTCTCAGGGTGAAGAAGATGGAAGTGCTCGGGATGAAGACTTTGTTCTCCAGGTTGAGGGTGAAGATGAGGAAGAAAGTGAGGCCCCAAGTGAGAATTCATCTGATCCTGAGCCCGTTGCACCCCGAAGCACCCCACGAGGACCTGCTGCAGGGGTAACTTGAATCAACAACAAAAAGATGGGAAAATGGGGGTTTTAGCATTCTGAGTACTCATGGCTAGCGTTTGACTTCATGGCTAGCCAAAAATAGTAACAAAAAAGGGGAAAAAACTTCAAAAATTTAAGGTATTGGATATTGGAGAGCCTATATGGAAAAGAATGTAGTGAATAGACTGTTCACTCAAATATTCTCCACTGAAAACCACATGTGTGAACAAAGAGCCTGCTTCTCCAAGCTTTCAGTGTACTGAATGTGATAAAGTGACTTAAACATGGGGGAGGGGAACTAACTGCTCAGATTTCACAGAGGAATGACACTTGAGCTGGGCCTCAGGGCAGGTACAGGTTTCTAGGGGTGGTGGTTCCCCAGAAGGTGAATGCAGCAGGAGATAGGGTCTGGGATAATCTAGGGAGATTGATAGAGAAGACGAAAGGACTTAAGTTGATAGGTGCCGACACGTGCCACATTTATTTATTTTTGACTGTGATAAGTATATGTAACATAAACACTTAAAAATGAGCAATTCTGTGTCTTTAAAAGTGTCTGTTTAGTTCAGACTAATCTCAAACTCCGTCCTCCTGCCTCAGTTTTCTTAGTCCTAGCATTACAGGGCTGGATGCCACACTCAGCTTAAACAGGAAGTTTGTTGGGTAGGTACTCGAGGGTCCATACATATGAGTACTTGGCTGTGTATATATGTCAAGCAGGTGGCTGGCCATGTTTGCTAAAGTGTGGAAGCTAGAGGTAGACCTTGAATGTCTCCCTCTGTTCTTCTCCACTGTATTGTTTTCACATTAGGGAGTCTCTTTCCTCCCTAAATGCTGGGCTAAGAGGCATACTTGGATTTTCTTCCTTCTTTTTTTTTTTTTTTTTTTTTTTTTTTTTTTTGGTTTTTCGAGACAGGGTTTCTCTGTGTAGACCAGGCTGGCCTCGAACTCAGAAATCTGCCTGCCTCTGCCGCCCAAGTGCTGGGATTAAAGGCGTGCGCCACCACTGCCCGGCTCACTCTTCCTTTCTCTCTCTCTCTTTCTTTCTTTCTTTCTTTCTTTCTTTCTTTCTCTCTTTTGCTTTTTGTTTTGTTTTTGATTTTTGTTTTTCAAGATAGGTTTTCTCTGGTAAATCTCACAGAGATCTGCCTGTCTCTGCCTCCTTTAGTCCTTAATATGGCTCTGTAGGCCTATAACTTGTAAAAAAAAAAAAAAGTTGTGACCAAGCCAAGTTTATAATGATGTGAGCTTTATAATTGGGCTTAAAAGTGGTAGCCATCGCTGGGACATGGATGAGATTCCAGGACTGTGTATATAAAAATACACTCCTGACCTGACCTGTCAGAGGAGGCAGGCTCTATAAAGGAGTACTGGAGGAGGGAGGAAGAGGTAACACTGTCCCACAGGGCACGAGTCTGAGGACATGCAGGAGAGTGCTCTGAACCAAGTGTTGTGGGGCCTGGAGAAAGTCATCCAGAGAGTGTTTGAGTAGATGAGTAACTGGAGCACAGATCTACTGAGATGCTGATAGATGGGTAGTTGTAGGATGTGTAATGCCAAGGAAAATGGAGACACTGAGAAAGAAAGCTATCTTCTGGGACTTTCTCCAACCTAGAATGTTCTTCTCTTAATATTTTCTTTACTTTGATGCTTAGAAACAGAAACCACACTGCCGGGGCATGGCTCCCAATGGCTTACCCAATTACATCATGGCTCCTGTTTGGAAGTGCCTCCACCTCACCAAGGACCTGTGAGATTTGGGAACAAAGACTGAGGGTTGGGGGGAGGGGGGTATAGGACCATCTAGAAAGAGAGAAGCCCTTGCTTATGTGTGGACTGTGGTGGTGGCATTCATTACTAAGGGACAGTGTTAAAAAGGCACAATCTCTTGGGCTCTTAATTCTTGACCACATTTCAAGTGCTGGTAGCTACTTGAAATAAACCACAAATCATTGCTACCCTCATAGAAAATGGTCTTAGACAGTGCTATTGTAGAGTTTCTCTCCTTTTCCATTGATGATGCTTCTGTTTCTCTAGCCGGGAACAGCAGCATTCATTCTGGGAGTTTGCTGAATGGATTCCAGTAGCCTGGAAGTGGCAGTTGTTATCTGAACTGTAAGTTGAATTGACATCTCTGAAGCTGTATTACCTTCTTTTGCTGTGATAAAAATGCCCTGGTGTGGTAAAAGCAATTTAAGGAGAAAGCATTTCTTTTGTCTCACAGGTCAAGACTCCAGTCCTTCATGGTGAGGCAGGACCTTGAGAAAGCTAGTTACACTTTATTTACAGTTAGGAAGGAGAGAAGAGTGGATGCTTTACTCAGCTAGCTTTAGCTTTATGTAGTCTGAGACCCAAGCCCATGGAATGGTGCTACCCACATTTAGGGTGAATAGTTCTATTTCAATGAACTGAATAAAGAAAATGCTCACAAACATGCTCAGAGACCAGCCTAATCTAGGTAATCCTTCACAGGTGTGCCCACAGGCTTGTCTGGTGTGTGACTTAGGTCCTATCAGGTTGACAGTATTAATCACTAAGAAGACTTGAAGGAGGTGACAGACAAGTTACAAAGAATTCTAAGGTGTATAATGGGAATTCTGTGATAGCGGAACTCTTTTCAGTTCATGCTGGTTTTGCTTCCCACAGTGAAGCAGCTCCCTACCTGCCCCAGGAGGAGAAGTCTCCCCTGTTTTCTGTACAACGTGAGGGGATTCCTGAGGACGGCACAATCTACCGAATAAACAGGTAAAAGATAGCAGCTCAGCCTTTTTTTTTCCCCCTGATATTGGAAGAGAGGAAGTAGGAAACACTAATGTTGTAAAGGTCCTCTCCTGAGTGCTGATCCGTAATGCTTAGGATAAAGACCCAGCTGTAGCAAGCTAATCTTCTCTAATACAGTGGTTGGCTTTCTCTGCAAGCTGGGCCTTGGGAGGCTTGGGTAGGCCAGTTCACAAGGTGACATGCACTTAACATGCGTCTTGAAAGATTCGAGGAGGGCTGGAGAGGTGGCTCAGTGGTTAAGAGCACTGACTGCACTTCCAGAGGTCCTGAGTTCAAATCCCAGCAACCACATGGTGGCTCACAACCATCTGTAATGAGATCTGATGCCCTCTTCTGGTGTGTTTGAAGACAGCTACAGTGTATTCATATATAATAAATAAATAAATCTTAAAAAATAAAAAAAAGAAAGATTCGAGGAGTTCCTCTCTGCAGGAAGTGGGGAGATATGAGTTGTGGCAGAGTCTTCCTCCAGCCACAGACTGTCTTGATTTTCAGACCTTTGCCTAAGCCAGACAGACTTGTTCCAGTCCAACTTGTCCATTTTGTCCTAACATTTTTGTTACTCTGACTTTTCTCTAGATTTAGTTCGATCACAGCACATCCAGAGCGCTGGGATGTGTCCTTCTTCACAGGGGGACCGCTCTGGGCTCTGGACTGGTGCCCAGTGCCTGAAGGGTCAGCAGCCTCACAGTATGTGGCCCTTTTCTCCAGCCCTGACATGAATGAGACACACCCACTGAGCCAGCTTCATTCAGGCCCTGGGCTGCTGCAGCTCTGGGGTCTTGGGACATTGCAGCAAGAAAGCTGGTGAGGTGGGGCTGGGACATTGACACAGGCAGGTGGGTGAGGGAGAAACAGGGCTGGGGCAGGGCTTGCAGTGGGCTGAGAGACAAGACAAGGAAGTGGAGCTCCATTAGTCGTGGACTCTTCCTACCCACTGTCTCCCCATGTTTCTTTCTCCAGTCCTGGCAACAGGGCCCACTTTGTCTATGGGATTGCTTGTGACAGTGGTTGTATCTGGGACCTCAAGTTCTGCCCCAGTGGGGCATGGGAGCATCCAGAAACCCTTCGGAAGGTACTTCTAGTTGATTAGGCTAGCCCTGGGAGTTCTTAGGGTTGAAGGAAGGAAGGTTAGAGTGTGGTGGGTGGTGTTTTCCAGCAACCCCATGTCATGCTTTAAGGGACCAGAGCCTCAGGTTTTCTGAGAGGCACCTGAAAGCAGCAAGCCTCAGCACAGATCTGTTCTCACCCTCCAGGCTCCTCTCCTGCCTCGCCTGGGTCTCTTGGCTCTGGCCTGCTCAGATGGGAAGGTACTACTGTTCAGTCTGCCGCATCCTGAGGCCCTCCTGGCTCAGCAGCCCCCAGGCAAGTCACATAGCCTCAATGGTGGTAGCCAGAGCTCTCAGGCCAGTCTGCCTCCCATGTCTTCTAGTGTAGTCTCTAGCATGAAAGCATGTTCAGTCAAACCTTTATGATAATACTATGACTTCAGTTGGTCATTTTTGAGCTTAAACTCTCTCTTCTGCAGATTAACTGCACCCTTTCAGCATTTTACCAGTCACTTCTCGTTCTTCCATGTTCTGTGCCCTTGGAAATTGATTACAAAGAATTGCTAAGGGTTGAGGCTGACAGGTGGTACTCACCTCTATTGGATGTTTTTCCCCAGTGCTGATCTCAGGACTCCCTGAGATCTATGCCCTTGCCCATACAGTGTCTTTTAGGAAGAGTCAAGAAAGGCAGAGTCTATGTTTTTTCCCCTAACAATACTGAGTAAGAAGAAGGCATCTGGGTTTAAGCCCTAGGAGGTTTTGTGTTTGGTGGTCTAATGGCGGAATAGGTTGAGGTGGAAATAGGAAATCAGGCATGTTTAGCCCTTTGGCATTATGGTATGATGTCATCTACAAAGTTCAGTCCCAGGAACCTCACAGTTGTATTACTGAAAAAATGAAAACTCGGCTAATGTGTTGAGACATACTTTTAGCTGTTCTTAGATGCATGTGGCCTAGAGATTGGATATGCCTCACATAATTTCTTTAGAAAGTTTAGGCTGGGCAGTAGTGGCGCATGCCTTTAATCCCAGCACTTGGGAGGCAGAGGCAGGTGGATTTCTGAGTTTGAGGCCAGCCTGGTCTACAGAGTGAGTTCCAGGACAGCCAGGGCTACACAGAGAAACCCTGTCTTGAAAAACCAAAAAGAAAGAGAGAGAGAGAGAAAGGGGGGGAGTTAGTTATAGCAAATGACTAAGGAGGCAGGCAGGCAGAGTTCTGTACATTCAGGGCTATGTAAATAGAGGAGACAATGGGGCAAGTTTATATAGAAATGCAGGATCCAGTCAATAAGGGAAGAACAAGTGGAAAATGCAAAAAGAAAAAAGAAAAAAAAAGTTTTAGGTAAATGAGCAGAGTTGTAGAGATGGAGAAAGAAGAAGGTACCAGTGTGGAGGAGGCAGCAGTTCTCACAGAAGGAAAGCTAGTGTTGTAGTGTTGGGGAAGAATGTGGGAGCAGGAAGAGATAGGGTCAGAAATCTGATGGTGAGGGAGAGGATGAAGAAGTCATTGCCCAGACATGAGATCCTGGTCTCAAAGCGAGGCCTGAGTAGGAGCTCAGCCCTCTGGATGCAGGGCCTCAGCCACTTCCTGCCTTTCTTCCCTCACAGATGCTATGAAGCCTGCCATCTACAAGGTGAGTGAGCGAGGAGCCCGTTACCGTACTTGAGGCATCATCTTCCAAGAGCCTCTTTTTACAGATTCTGCAGTGAGTCTATCCCTTCTGAATGTGTCTCTTTTCTGGATTAAGAACTGATTTGAAACTGGGTGGTGGTGCACACCTTTAGTCCCAGCACTTGGGAGGCAGAAGCAGCTAGATCTCCAAGTTTGAGGTCAGCCTGGACTACAGAGTTCCAGGACCACCTGGGCGACATGGAGAAACAGAAACTCTTATCTTGAAAAAACAAAAACAAACTGATTAGAGTCTTATTTCAAACAATAAGGACTTGCTAACCCTCAAGTTAATCTCTATTGTCCTTGCAGGTCCAGTGTTTGGCAACTCTTCAGGTGGGGTCTGTGCAAGCTTCAGACCCTTCTGAGTGCGGTCAGTGCCTTAGCCTGGCTTGGATGCCTACCAGGCCTCACCACCACCTGGCTGCTGGATACTATAATGGTAAAAACAAAACAAAGACCTGTTGTTCTTTAAGCTTTACATATGCTTGGGTTTGGATGGTGCTTACTTTGCATGGCCTAAGCCCTTGAGTTCAATCCTCAGCACTATATACATTAGGCATAGTGGTACATGCCTGGAGTCTTAATACTTGGGAGGTGAAGGCAGGATGATCAGAAATTCATGGTTGCAGGTATAGCTCAGTAGTGGGGCATTTGATGCAGAATTTTGAGGTCATCCTTGAAAATAACTATTTTAGGCCAGCCTGGGCTACTTTGACTTTTCTCAAAGAAAAGTGATGGAACATAATTTAATGCAATCCTCTATGAAGATAACAGTAAATATTTGCTACCTTAAGGAAAGTCAACTCAGAATTAAGTGGTGGTGCTAGCAAGATGGCACAGCAGGTGAAGACGTCTGCCACTGAGACTGCTGATCTGAGAGTGATCCCTAATCCCACATAGGAGGGAGAGAAGCAACTCCTATAGGTGTCCTCTGACCTTCACACGCCAGCTCTGACATGCATGTACCTACACACATCACATACACACAAGATAAGTAACTATGGTTTGTTTTTTTTAATTAATAAAGTTAATTAGAGGATCTGGAGAGAGCTCAGTGGTTAAGAGTACTTGCTCTGCCAGAGGACCCACCTCAGTTAATGGCACCAGTGTCAGGCAGCCTACTCACTTGTTTTTTTGTTTTGTTTTGTTTTGTTTTTTGGTTTTTCGAGACAGGGTTTCTCTGCGTAGTCCTGGCTGTCCTGGAACTCACTCTGTAGACCAGGCTGGCCTCGAACTCAGAAATCCGCCTGCCTCTGCCTCCCAAGTGCTGGGATTAAAGGCGTGCACCACCGCCCGGCAAGCCTACTCACTTGTAACTCCAGCTCCAGGCCATCATGGGTCTTCTAGCATGTCGGGGCACACATGACATACACATTTAAAACTCTTTTCTTTTTTTTTTAAAAGCTAGGTGACCGCTGGGCAGTGGTGTCGCACACCTTTACGTACGCTTGTGTGTATGTGTATATGGTATGTTTATACGTGTGTGTGTGTGTGTGTGTGTGTGTGTGTGTGTATGGTATGTTTATACGTGTTTGTGTGTGTATGTGTATATGGTATGTTTATACGTGTGTGTGTGTATGGTATGTTTATACGTGTGTGTGTGTGTGTGTGTGTGTGGTATATTATACACACACACACATACACTTTTTTTTTAATTGCTAGATAGCTGAATAAATAGCCCAGAATGTAAAGATGCTTCTGTCAAGCATGAAAAACTGAGTTCAATCCCCAAGACCCACATGGTCAAAGGAGGGGACTAACTCTCTCAAGATGTCCTTCCCTCTACACAGGATATGGTACACACATACAAAATAAATTAATGTAGTTGTGGATGTGCGAATAGATTTGGCCCCTTGTACATTCACATGTTTGAATGCTTGGCCATAGATAATGGCATGATTAGGAGATACGGCCTTATTGGAGGAATTGCAGTCACTGTGGGTGAGCTTTGAGGTTTCCTATGCTCAAGCTCCACCCAGTGTGGAGCAGTGTCCTGGCTGCCTGTGGAAGACAGTCTTTTCCTGGCTGCCTTCAGATCAAGATGTAGAACTGTCTGCTCCACCAGCACCATGTCTGCATGCACACTGCTACACTTCCTGCCATGATGATAAGGGGCTGAGTCTCTGAAACTGTAAGCCAGCCACAATTAAAAGTTTGCCTTTATAAGAGTTGCTGTGGTCATAGTGTCTCTTCACAGCAATAAAACCCTAAGACAAGAGTTGGTACCAAGGACTGGGATATTCTTGTGATGGGCCTGACCATGCTTTTGTTTGGAGGAATGTGTATTTGGGGACTTTAAAAAGCAGTGAGATGCTTTAAGTGGTGTTTAGTGGGCCATACTAGTAGAAGCATGGAAGACAGTGGTGTTGAGGGTGATTAGAACTGTAGGAGCCTAGGTGAAGACATTTCAGAAGAAAATTTTAGTATGTGGCCTAGAGAATATTCTTTTTATATTTTGATGAAGAATGTAGTTTCTTTATTGCCCTTGTCTGAAGAGGCTAAAGTGAAGAGATTTAGATAAAGGAAATCTCAAAATAGCCTAGTATAGGCTGTCCTGCTTTTTTTTTTAAAGATATATTTATTTTTATTTATATGAATACACTGCAGCTGTTTTCAGACACATACCAGAAGAATGCATTGGATCCCATTAAAGATGGTTGTGACCCACCATGTGGTTGCTAGGAATTGAACTTGGGACCTCTAGAAGAACAGTCAGTGCTCTTAACTGCGGAGCCATCTCTCCAGGCCCTCTGTCCTGCTTTTGAAGAGCCTTTTGATCAGACATAGCAAGCTGAGAAAGGAAAAATACATGATGTATGGTTTAAAGATTAAAAGGGCACTAGGAAGTAGAATGGAGCTTTATCCTGTGTTTAAATGTTAAATGGAATTAAAAAAGTGATGACCTCAGGGCAAGATTCCACCCAGCTAAACTTATTGTTTATGCATTTGCAGTTAACAACGGATAGTTCTATCATGTTAGGCATCGCTATGACCTGGTTATTGTTTTCATTTGGACATAAATGAGATGTGATTGTGTATCTGGTTGACAAGGGATGGATTGTGAGGGCTCTTCTCGGTTCTTCACTTCACTAGATCTGGAATGAACTACAAACCAGAAATGGAGGGCACACCTATGATCCAGATCCTGACACATAGTAGTCATGCTTATCAAGGTATTGTGAAAAGGAATTACAAACAGCTTAGGTCCAGGCATGGTGGTATTTGCCTTTAATCCCAGCACTCACGAGACAGGCATGCAGATTGTCTCTTCAGGTCAAGGTCAGTCTACAGAGCAAGTTTCAGGAGAGCCAAGCTTAGGCAGTGAAGGAAATCACTGAAAACAGCTGGTAATTGAACAAGGGGTCCATGTACCAGCCCCAGCAAAGCGACAGAAATTGACAGCTTCAGCCATGTGGTTCTGGCTTTAGAGTCAAGAGTAGACGGGGTTATTGTGGGACAATTGATGCTGGTTAGCTGGAGCAAAGAAATTAGCGGTGATTAAGAAGAGACCAGCGTCACTGAAGTGAAGTCTAGGATATGTTCTCTGAGAACAAAAAGCAGCTGTGTTCCAGAGATAGAAATCATGGTGGCAGTTGGACTTGGTGATGTGTAAGAATCACCCAGGTAGCACTGGTTTTGAGAGCGAGAAGGGACCATGATGAGCGGCTTGAGTCTTGGCACTGTGAGAGGCCAGGAAAGGCTGTTGCTGAGTGTGTAGTCTAGTGGCAGTTGAAGGCCTGGGACTGAAGGGCCATGCATAGGAGCTGAGGCTTGGCACCATGAAGAGAGCCTATGAGAGGCCATTGGTGACTATTTGCAGACTAGTTGCAGTGGAAGACCCCAGTGTATTGGAAATGCCAGTACTGTGTGATTACCAGCAAGAACAGCATCAGTAGTGGAGTGGAGTCAACCAGACCCTAGAATGCTGCAGAGGGCAGAGCTGGAGAAGTGACGCAAGTCCTTTGAAGAAGCCCAGAAGATCATGTGTGGATCTCATATTGGAACAAGAGCTATGAAGTTAGCTGGGCAGTAGTGGCGCATGACTTTAATCCCAGCACTTGGGAGGCAGAGGCAGGCGGATTTCTGAGTTCGAGAACCAGCCTGGTCTACAGAGTGAGTTCCAGGACAGCCAGGGCTACACAGAGAAACCCTGTCTCGAAAAACCAAAAAAGAAAGAGCTATGAAGTTAAAGTTGTCTTGGAGACCCCAAGATGTTAGAGATGCCAGAGCCATGGGATACCTGCTGGGGAAAGCTACTAACAGAGTTGAACCAGCCAAGAGAAAGAACTGTTGTAGTCAACAAAGCTGAAAGGAGTTGGACATCTGAGATGGATATGTAGAGTTTGGAGTTTGCCCAGCTGGTTTTTGGTCTTGGCTTTGCTCCAGTATTTCCTCACTATAACATTTTATAATGGTAATCTAGATCCTGTGCTGTTGGAAGTATGTGATCTGCTTTTGTTTGTTTGTTTTTGAAGACGGTTTCTCTGTGTAGCCTGGCTGTCCTGGAACTCACTCTGTAGACCAGGCTGGCCTCAAACTCAGAAATCCGCCTGCCTCTGCCTCCCAAGTGCTGGGATTAAAGGCGTGTGCCATCACTGCCCGGCTGTGATCTGCTTTTTGATTTTGACTTTGTAGGGGATTATAGTTAAGAGATTGCATGAATCTCAGAAGAGACTTTGAACTTTGGACTTTTAAATATTGTGATAGATTACGGGTACTTTTGAAGTTGGACTAAATGCATTTAGTATGTTATAGCTAAAAGCCGTTGGAGGGCAGGGAGTGGAATGTGCTTTGAATAGGTTTGGCCCCATAGATCACGTGTTTGAATGCTTGGCCATAGGGAGTAGCACTATTAGGTGTGGCATTATTAGAGGAGGTGTGGCCTTGTTGGACGAGTATGTTACTGTGTGAGTAGACTTTGAGGTTTCCTGTACTCAGGCTCCACCCAGTGTGGAACAGTCTTGGCTGCCTTCAGATCAAGATGTAGAACTCTGAGCTCTTCCAGCACCAAGCATGACTTTGTTTGCATTTATAAGAGTTGCCTTTGCCAGGCGGGCAGTACACCTTTAATCCCAGCACTTGGGAGGCAAAAGCAGACGGATTTCTGAGTTCGAGGCCAGCCTGGTGTACAGAGTGAGTTCCAGGACGTCCAGGGCTACACAGAGAAACCCTGTCTTGAAAAACCAAGGGAAAAAAACAAAAACAAAGAGTCTCTTCATAGCAATAAAACCCTAACTAAGACAGTAATTTTGAAAGACAAAACTGATGAATACAATAGACTACTCAGCAATATAAAAGTGATGGTCTCCTGACACATAACATAGAAACAGCTAAGGTAATCACTGAAAGAAACTACCCACAGTCACAATGCCAGCTAATTACTGGTATGCTATCTAGAAAGTTGCTTGCTTCACTCAAAATAGATGCAGAGTCATAAGGAATTTTAACATTTATGGAAACATTTGAGTTCTTGTTGGTGGGGGTTATTACACTAATACAAGTAGCTAGCAAACTCATGAAATTGTGTGCTTGAAATTAATGTACTTCATATAAATGTTTCCACTATAAAATAGAGAGGAGAGAATTCTCTGATAGTAAGCACACAGGAGTTTAAAGGAACATTTATACAAACAAGATCATACTATACAAGCTGCTTAAAGGTGTAAGGGGAGCTGGAGAAATAGCTTAGTAGTTAGAGCACTGGCAGCTCTTCCAGAGGACCTGGGTTTGAGTCCCAGGATCCACATGGCAGCTCACATGGTAACTCCAGTGCTAGGGGATCCAGTGTGCTCTTAAAGGTGTTGGTAGGCCTGGTGGTGCAGGGCTATAATCTCATAGCCTAAGGAGGGAGCATCAAGTTCAAGGAATGCCCAGGATATTTAGACCGTCTCAAAACTAAAATAGAAAGGTTAGCAAGTGCTTTGTGGGTATAATCTCCCAGTTCTTCAAATAAGTATAATTTAAAGACAATTACGTTTTTTATATTTTTGGAGGGGTGATGTTCAGATTACTTGTGGAAGTTGGTTCTTTTCTTTTACCGTGTAGATAGATCCCTATGGATCTAATTCAGGTTGCCTACTTTGGTGGCAAGTGCCTTTACTACTGAGCCATTCACCAGCCCTATTTTATTGTTTCTAAGTGACGGTTTCATCTTCATAGAGCAGTAGGCTTTCTGTCCGATCAGGAAATTAGCGCCTTTTCAAACTTCCTCTATCACACTGTGTCTGTTTCCGGTTTTTCTTGGTATTTCATTGTCAGGATACATATGCCGCATCTGTCTTTTTTTTTTTTTTTTTTTTTTTGGTTTTTCGAGACAGCGTATCTCTATGTAGCCCTGGCTGTCCTGGAACTCACTCTGTAGACCAGGCTGGCCTTGAACTCAGAAATCCGCCTTCCTCTGGCTCCCACCACCGCTCGGCGCCTCATCTGTCACCTCTCCCAGGACTGGTGATTGAACTCAGTACTGGCTTATGTGAGGTAAATTACTGTGGCCTAAGTGATCTAATGACTCTCTCCCCGAAGCCCCTCTGGCCTGCTGCTGCATTATTTCCATTGTGTACCTATAAGTCACTGTGTTCTTTTTGTGTTTTTTTTTTTCTGCAAAAGATTTATAAATGCTTCCCTCACTAAGTTTTCGTATACAAGGGGTTTTAGCTACAGATATTTTCCTAGTTATTATAAGATTTTTAATGTCTCTTCTCTTTTACTTTTATCTGAATTACATTTGATCACCCTTCCTTTACCAGTCTTGTTTTGGTCATCCAGGTTGTTTTGTGTGCCCGTTTGTTGTCTTTTCCTCTGCACTTTGTTGCTTTTATTATTCTTGTTGTAGAGCAGAATTAGAGTAATGCGCCGAATAGTAATGATTTTAAGCTTTGTGAGCTATTTTGCCATCGTTGGTACTAAATTCTGCTATTTGGATGTGTAGTCAACGTTGTATAATGAGTAAGTGTGATTGTTTCAATGCACCTACTGAGGCAGGTACCCTAAGCCAAGCGTGGTGGCTTATAATTATTACCAGCACAATGGGGGCAGAGGCAGAAGGATGCCGAGTTTGAGGCCAGCTTGCATACTCAGAAGCTGTCTCAAAGGAGTATTATGCAGTGAGGGTAACTCCATCCCCATGACATAGAGTACTTGCAAAGGAGTTATGTTTTGTTTTGTTGAGATAGGGTTTCAATGTGCCCTAGGCAGATCCTCCTGCCTCAGCCCAAATGCTGAGATTATAAATATGTCCCACCATATCAGTAGATATGCACTATTTTACAATTCTTTTACCCTGAGGCCTAAGAGATGACTCAGCACTTAGGAGCATGTCCTGTCCTTGCAGAGGACTTGAATTCACTTCCAGAATCCACATGAGGGGCTCACAGCCACCTGTAATTCCTGCTCTAGGAGATCCACAGCCCTCCTCTGGCATCCGTATGTACTTACATTCACATAGACACATACTCCCACGCAGACACATAGTTACATTAAAAGAAAAAAAATCTCTTTGTTTAGCAGCCATCAGACTGCAACCTTTCAAACGTAGGTGCAGGACTCCACTACCAGTTTTTAGCTGGAGTCAGTTGTGTATTTGAGCTGAGCTGAGGGGGAGAACTCATTGTCCCACTCTTCTACTGTAGTGTGGATCTGAGAGTAGGAGACAGAGCCTGGATCTCAAAGAAGAAATGAGACCACAGAACCGAGAGCTTCCTGCTGCAGCGGTGCTCAGCGGCCCTCGTGCTAGGGCGCTCATCTGCTGACCCCAGCTGTAACATTATCTCCTTGCTACTTCTAACTAATGTTGCTACAGTTATGAGTTACAGTGTAAATACTTCTGGAGATAGAGGCTTTCCAAAGGGCAAGAACTACTGCTTTAATGTCTACATTTTCTATCTCCACTTTAGGCATGGTAGTTTTCTGGAATCTTCCCACTAACTCACCCCTCCAAAGGATACGGCTCTCTGATGGTTCCTTAAAGCTGTACCCCTTCCAGTGTTTCCTAGCCCATGACCAGGCTGTTCGTACAATTCAGTGGTGCAAAGCTAACAGGTACAGAGTAAGGGCTGTGGAGTTGGGGAACTATAGCAGGCGACTCTTTCACACAGCCTCTGATCTCATCTCTCGTTTTTTTTTTTTTGTTTGTTTGTTTGTTTGTTTTTTCAGTCATTTCCTGGTATCGGCAGGGAGTGACCGGAAAATCAAATTCTGGGATCTTCGACGACCTTATGAACCAATAAACTGTATCAAGCGCTTCTTGAGTACAGAGCTTTCCTGGCTGCTCCCGTACAATGGTGTCACAGTGGCACAAGACAACTGTTATGCCTCGTACGACAAGATGAAGATCTGAGTTCTGGGGACAGGCCCTGCGGGTTGGGGCGCAGAGCTTGTCAGATTGTGGGGAAAGGAGAGTTGAGTTTGTTGACTGAGGTATCTGCATTCTGGAAGAAACAAACAATGTTCTTAGAAGAAGGAAGGTTTATTTTATTTCTTTTTCTTTTTTAGTTACGGGCTCTGTGGAATTCATTACATTGATGCCGGTTACCTTGGTTTTAAGGCCTATTTTACAGCTCCACGAAAAGGCACTGTCTGGGTGAGCCTCTCCTTTCCCCAAGCTTCAGTTTGCAGGAAATGGTCAGTTGCTCACTGTAGTAAGTCAGGAGCAGATAGTAACACAGGACACTCTTCAGGGTACAAGGAGGAGCAGGTAGATGATAACTGTCATTAGGGACAAGAGCCTGTTTTGTATCTCTCCTCAACCTCAGACTATATAGTCATCACAGGAATTAATGAGTGGATGGGCGAAATGAATACGTCTCTTCCTATTAGAGTCTTTCAGGTTCAGACTGGCTCGGGACAGTCGCTGCAGGAGATATATCTGGGGAGCTCATTGCAGCTATTTTACCTGATATGGCATCAAACCCAATCAATGTCAAGAAACCTGCAGAAAGACGATTTGTAAGTATCTGAACATTCATCTATAGTCTTGGACCTTGCCAGCTCTTGGTAGAATACAAACTAGTGCTTGCCCCAAGCACTGATAGCAAGGACTTATGTATAATCTTCTCTACCCTATTAGAACTGAGCATGTTTCTTTAAAAATTGTTACTGTCATTACACTTATTTCATGTGTATGGGGGATTGGTGTGCACGGTTGTGTCTGGTTAGAGGGCAGCTTTGGAGAGTCAGTTCCCTCTCTCTCTACTTCAGGTCATCAGGTTACAGCCCTTGTGCCAGCCTCAGTGTGCATTTATTCTTTCTGTTCTTGAGACTTTGCCACAGTGAGCCAGTTTCCTTTCTGCTTTGTATTTAGTATTAAAATCTGTTTTGAGAGATGGCTTAGCATGTAAAGACACCAGCTGCTAAGCCTATGTGAGCTGAGTTTGTTCCCTGGGTCCCACAGGATGGAAGAAAGAATTGACTCCCTAAAGTTGTTTTTTGACCTCCACATACACCCCATGGCATGTGTGAATGCATGCAGTTATAAATAAAAAATAAAAATGTAAGATGCTAACTTTGTGATCTTCTCTTCAGCCTATATATAAAGCAGATCTGATACCATACCAGGACAGCCCCGAAGACCAAGACTACTCCTCGACTTCCTCCGAGACCCCCAACCCCCCAAAAGCGAGGACCTACACTGAAACCATCAACCACCACTACTTGCTCTTTCAAGATACAGATCTGGTAAGTTGTGACCACAAGTCATTGTGATGTTAGGAAATATAGAAAACTTAGATAACAGGAAGTCCTAAGAAATTCCACTTCTGTTTCCCAGAGTTCCTTCCACAATCTGCTTCGTAGAGAACCGATGCTTCGCATGCAAGAAGGAGAGGGACATTCTCAGCTTTGCCTGGACAGGCTGCAACTTGAAGCTATTCACAAGGTGAGAACCTTGTCTTGCATCTCTCCACCCTCCCTTTGTGTGATCAGTGAAATGAGAGGTTTAAAGGCAGCAGAGACGGCTGGAGGAAAAGCAGCCTTGATTCTCTCTCCCAGGTCATGGTATGTAGACCTCATTCATTGACTGTCTTGTATGGTCCAGTCCTCCTGATTGTGACTTTATTTGGCTGGTTGGCTTTGGGTGGTTTTGATACAGGATCAGTGGCTGTCCTGGAGCTCATCTTGTAAACTAGGTTGGCCTCAGACTCACAGAAATATACCTGCTTCTGCCTTATGAGTGCTGAAGTTAAAGGTGTGGTGATCTGTTTTTAAAGCTCATGCAGGTAGAGGTCACCCAAAGACACAAGCCCTGAGACACTTTTGGTTTTCTGTTTTCTTCACAGGTACGTTTCAGCCCAAACCTGGACTCCTACGGATGGCTGGTATCTGGGGGGCAGTCAGGGCTGGTTCGGATCCATTTTGTCCGTGGACTCACCTCCCCACTGGCCCACCGTGTACAGCTTGAAAGCCGAGCCAACTTCAATGCTATGTTCCAACCATCCTTTCCAACAGAAGGGCCTGGTTTCTCTCCAAGCAGCCATTGCCTTCTCCCCAACCCCTAGTCTGGTCCACACAGAACTCTTGGATTGAAGTCTGCCAAGAACAAATGGCCCCCATGCACAGAGCATAGGACCTGGGCCCTTCCTGGACAGTGATGGTGCCAGGCCTAAATCTTTAGGCCTTCATGCCCCAAACTCCTTAAATCCCTCTCCTTCCACAGACTTCTATGGTCACAGCTCCCTGCAGGTAGGGGGGCTCCCCCTCCACAACAATTCCTATCCCTAAAACCGTGGCTCACAAGAAACACTCAGGCCAAACCTAGGCTTGGGAGTCAGATTGCTCATATTGAGCATATTGTGAAGGAGGTGAAGCTGAGTAAAGGTACTGGGTGTTTTGAGAGCACTTGCGAGTGGGTGTTTGGAGAGTCAGTCGGAAAGGATATCTTCATGAAGGCTCCTATTTCCAGGATTTGATGTTATTGCCTTCCAATCATCATCTTTAGAATAACCAACACAGAGGCCCAGTGGTGGGGACAGTACTTTATTGGATGAAGCTGCTCATAACTTAGACTGAGGAACACCGTAAGCACCCTGCCAGTAGGAAGCAGCTCGCTCTTACTTGTTCCTGCTTATGAAATATTCCCAATCACTGACATGTGACACTACTTGAACACTCCTAGATAGTGTTTTTAAAATTTTTGGAGCTGGGTATAGTGGTGCATACCTGTAATCCCAGTACTTGGGAGGCCGAGGCAGGAGGATCACAAGTTTGCATTCAGTCTGGGCTATCTCATAAAACCAAAAAGTTTAAAAAAAAAAAAAAAAAAAGAAAAAAAGAAAAAAAAAGATCTTCCTTTATATCAAGTCAGAGTATACCTCTATTAATTTTACTAATGGGTGTTAGAAAATAGTCATTCTTCCCTGTGCTACCCTTTTCAGTACTTCATAGTAGCTATCATGTGTTTCCCAAGTCATTTTTTTCTCTAGATTAAATATCTTTAGTTATTTCAATCATTCTTTTACAAGTCATGATTTTTGATCTTTATGATATGGTCACATTGTTGACGTATTAAACATGTTTAAACTCTGTATAGAAAGTATTTAGAACCCAATAATGTATTGTTTGCTCAATTGAGTCCTCTGTGGATAGCTGCACATCACATGACTGTGATACCGCCTCGAAAACACAGGCTGCCTCCGTGATGTGAGATTGCCAAATCACAGTCAGGGGACTCATTGGAGTACACAGGTTGAGGTTTGGAAGGAAGTAGTTAGACCATCTTAGGAAACAGGAAGCAGGTAGCCTGTTTCCTCTGGGATGGGATGCGGTTTACATTAGTATTGCCTGAAACAAAACCTAGACTCAAGATGGGTCTGTTACATCTGGGAACAGCTTTCTGCCTGAGTAGTGTAGATTTGTCAAATGCCAGAAAGCAGAGAGTCTTTAAGAAGAGAGTCAAGTAGTCCCCTTCCTATACAGAAGAAGCGGAAGCCCTGTAGGAGACGGAGGTCCTTTGCAGCAGAAGGGCCCATGGCTGCATTAGTGTTAGGAGACAAGTGTTGTACTGCTCTGTTGTGATCCAGCGCAGGCTGTGCTGGGCTTGCGTTTTGAACTAATAAAGAAGTGCCTTCCATTGCAGAGAAGCTTGGCTTGTCCTGCAGAGCAACCCATTGACACAGCACATCTGTGCTTCCCTACTTCCAGTGGTAGAGAAGGTGGGACTGGGGGGAGGGGCTAAAGGCTGTGGTTGTAGGCTTGTGCTAGCAACCCTGCTCCTGGTGTTGATTCTACCTTTAACTCAGAAGTAAATGTGGGCAATCTTTTCTGCTCTGTTCTTTTTCCTTTCTCCTCAGCCCATTTCTTTCCTTACCTTTCTTCCCAGTGTATCTACACTCTTGGTTCTTGCTCTGCTTCCTTTATGCCTTAGTTTATTCTGTTGCCTTCCTCATCAACACCTAAATCTTGTTTATCCTTCAAGATCCCATCTCAGGGCTGGGGTGTAGCTCAGTGGAAGAGCATGTGCTTAGTGTGTAGAAGATCCTTGATTTGCTTCTCTCCCCGTATCCTCCCCTCCAAAACCTCCCAGGTCAAATTTCAGTGAGGAACTTTTTATATTTCTCTAGTGGTGGTAAAAATCTCCATGTGCTTCAGAGAAGGCAGGTGGATAAATGATATTAAGCATTTGCTCTGTTTGGGGTGCTTTTTGTACACCCCTGAGCTCTATGGAGTAGGTACTGTTTTATGTAATGACAATTAGATTCTGAGGTCAAAGAATCTGAATAAGGTTTGAATCCATATACCCTTGCTTAAAACCACCTTCCAGTCTTGCACATTTGGGCTCCTTATTACGTCCACTAGTGGAATTCTTTTAGCATGTTCTGTATGCAGGAATGTAATTCCCCGGAATCCCTAGCCTCTCTCATAGCTAATAGAATCCATCCTTCATTAGTCATACAGGAATTGAATAAATGAGCTGGGGGTAGGCAGATGGAGAGCGTGCAGTTGACCATTTTCAAGGCTGGGGAATGTATACATCCTTACCTACCTGAGAAAGGTATTTCCCGGGAGTTGGGTGTTACAAGTGAAGGGAGACTAAGATTCCTAAGCTGGTTTTTAAGACAGTTTTATGTCTCTTTGTTTAAAATAACTCTAGAGACCCATAAAACAAAACGTCCATTGAGTCCTCTCTTGTACATCCCTAGAATTCGAGGAGGCCTGATTGCAAGCCGGGTCGTTTTACAAACTTATGACCAAGGCTGAGCAGCCTTAAGACAGCACAGATGCTCTCAGGTTCCGCTATGTCAGTGGCTCTGAAAGTTGACTGCTTCTTCAAAAAGATATTTCAGACAAAACTTAAAATTTTGTTATGAAGAACAAAAATATAACAAGTCTTGAGTTCCGCTCACTTGGGAGCTTAGGTACGGTACAGAGACAACGTGTGCAGACATCTGCATTAAACCAGCATTTAAGTTTCCAAACTGAGAAGGGCGTCCAGACCTGGCTGCCTCCGGGAGACTGAGACAGTCTGGGCTGATAGTCTGGGAGCTTGGGGTGGGGGTGGGGGGGTTGGAGGGGGGGGTCGAGTTACAAGAAAGCACAGACTGTGCCCCACATCGATGTTTGGTGTAGTCCACGAGAAGGGGGCGTCCCACTATTACATGTGAGCTGAAGGCCCCACCCGCCTGCATTCCTCCTGGACTGCTTGTGTCCAAACAACAGCCTGGCCCGCGGGCGGACGGAAGAGGCGGTGCTCGATACGGAAGTCCCTGGACCAGCTTCGGTCACGTGAGAGAAGGTTCCACACAGAGCTGCCGCTCAGGTGAGTAAAAGTTCTTGGCAGGCGCTGGCTTGAAAGTGTGGGTCGAGAGTTTTTGTAGATCATGTGACTTCTCAGAACCGGGTCCTTGGTTTATTTCTTGTGTGTAGTTGTACTTATGAAGGATGTGGATTAGTTCCGGCTGAGTCTGAGTTTGGAGATCTATCGTGTTTACTTGAGGGGTGTAACCCAGACTCTAGATGGAAGCCGGAGTAAGTCTAATCTGGATGCCCTGCTTCAGGACCAGGTTACTCAAGACTGCCTCTTCTTCAGTTGTATAGTGACCATGAGACAGGGACACGGCCCAGGAAGCAACCTTTCTGAGGCCTCTGTCAATTGCAGATTTTGGAAGTAGGGAGAATGAGCATAAGAAAATGGCAGGCATGTTCTTACTGTGAGGGGCAGTGGGAGTGACTTTTCCTCTTGGTTTGACAGGAGGCATGGCACTCTGGCGAGCATACCAGAGGGCCCTGGCTGCACATCCGTGGAAAGTCCAGGTTCTGACAGCTGGTGAGTGTCACTCTGGGACCAGAGCATGATTAGAGCAGCTGATTGGAGGAGGAGGAAGAGGAGGAGGCCCGGCCCAGACCCTGGCCCATATCACGGCACTCATTTCCTCCTGTTTAGCCCCCTGGAAGTGTCTCTCTTTTCCCAAACTATTATGTCTGTTTTGGAGGGTGAGCTATTTCTAAGAGACACACATGGGAGGGGAGAGGGGTAGAGAGATGGCTCAGAAGTTAACATCACCTACTGCTCTGTAGAGGACTCAGCACTATGTCAGGTGGCTCACAGCCACCTGTAGCTCCAGCTCCAGAGGGATCTGCCATCTCCAGACACTGGGGCACCTGCACTCGCTTGCACAAACCCACAAACAGACCACACACACACACACACACACACACACACACAGTTTACAATGATAATAAATCTAAAAAGAGAGAGATGCACAGTCTGACGAGCAAGACTTAAAGTCCTCAGAAACTTAGGTGATGGTTTCTGTTTGTTTTGTTTTTCCATGCAGGGCTTCTTTGTGTAGTCCTGGCTGTCATGGAACTCAAATCTGTGTGCCAGGGTGGCCTTCAACTTACAGATCCACCTCCTTCTCTCTCCCAAGTGCTGGGATTAAAGGGATGTGCCACTGCTGCCTAGCCTAAGTAGTCTGTTCTTAAAAACCTTGCCCCCAGGAGACCCCTCCTTGAGAAGCTAAATGTTTTCCTCTTAGAATTTCTAGTGTGCCGAGCACACCGTCTACATACATAGGAGCCTCCAAAGGTCTATTAGCTAGAAGGAGTGCACATTAAATCACACATCTAACAGGTGCTGAAGTAACTTACTCTAATTTATTTTTATAAGTATTTTTTTATTGTGAAGTGTACAAAACAGTAATATATTTGAAGTTTAAGTCATTAAAACAGAACACTTCTGAATCAGTAATCAGCTTTGGGACTCTATTGAGTCCCTCTCCCCAGCTCATATATTCCAGTTTTTAATTTCATTTTTATTTTAAAACCAGAGTCACACTAGCCCAGGCTGACCTGGAATTCAGTGTGTAGCCAGACTGGTCTTGAACTTGCAGCAGTCCCTTCTCAGCCTCTGAATGCTGAACTAACGAGTGTGAGCCCCACAGCTGGCTCTATGGTCACCTTCCTGAGCTTAGCCTGCGTTGTTACTTGGCTTTTCTTACAACATACTCTCAGTATGCTAACTGGGGCTTCTTTCCTCTGTCAGTGGTGAGTACCAGCTTCACAGAGGACCTCCAGATGCCTCCTGTGTCTGTGTCCACCCTCCTTTTGCTGGTTAGCTAGGACAAGGGGACAGGATGAGGAAGCATCAGCAGGCCTCTGATCATCAGAGCAGTGCAGTGGACACTCAGGTCAAAAACACGTCTTGCCTATGCTTAGAAAAAGAACCCATATTTTAAGGAAGACTGTGGGCTCCTGAAGGGAAAGAAGGAGGCTAAAGGGTAGGTAGAACAGAGGTCCTGTTAGCACAATAACTGTACGTTAGCATTAGAGACTGCATGACTGGCCAGGAGGCGGACTCTTACTCCTCTCTGGCCCTCCACCTCTTGTCCTCAGAGTGTCCGGCCTGCATGACTCACCTGGCTGAGTGTGTGGTGACTCATGCTGGACTGTGTGGCTGTGATGGGAACTGACATGCTGGGCCCTTTGCCCGGCCTCAGACTCCCTCAGGGCCCCTAGCTGCCAGATAGAAGGTCCCCCCTTGTGACCATAAGAATGGTGAGGAAAGGACAGTCATGCTTCCCCTAAATGAACCATAGCTAACAAAGGCAGGACTAAAGCTCCAGGGGCACAAGTGCAGAACTGTGGCTCGCTGGGGTCCCTGGTCTGCCTGGGTGCTTTGCACTGTCTCATGTCTACACTGCTCCTGAAGCTGTTGCATCTCCATCTGGTTCTGAAGCAACTGTAACCTCGCAGTGTGTCTTGCAGACTTCCCCTTCTTTACTGACAGGGTGTTTGGACCAAACTACAAATAAAAGGTGGGGGTGGGCTTAGCTCACCTAAGCATTTTGGACTGTTGTCAGAGCACAGTGTCTCCAGAGGTCCCATGGGATAGCTCACACTGAGAAACAACAAGAGATTTCAGACTTGGAGCTAGAAGGCCAAGATCTGAATCTCAGAGCATAGCACTTAGTAACTGCCTAATTAGTCCACATCAATAAACCTCTTTGGGCCTCAGTTTCCTCATTTAGCACTTAAAAGGTCAGTTACAGGAATTATCTCTGAGAGAAGCTTTGGAAGTGTTATTTATTTATCCACTCACAGACCTAAAGGCAGAAGCTACAGCCTCACACAAGCTGGGCAAGCACACACTCTGGACACTGTGCCTGGCCTTTTGTGCCTTTTGTTTCATTTTACATTGTTTATTGTGTGTGCATGTGTGCCTGTGTGTTGCATGACTATACAATCAATTCTTTCCTGGGATGGACTGGAACTTTTAAAAATGTATAATAAACTTGAAGGTTCAAGGAGTTGGCCCTTCCTATGATCATTGGCAGCCTGTGTATAGCAAATGCCTATGTTTGCTTGTTTTGGTTGGTTGAGACAGGGTTTCTCTGTGTAGCCCTGGCTGTCCTGGAACTCACTCTGTAGACCAGGCTGACCTCAAACTCAGAGATCCACTTGCTTTTGCCTCCTGAGTACTGAGATTAAAGGCATGTGCCACTATTGCTTGCTGGCTATTTTCCATCAGAATCTCGCTGTGTACCTCAGGCTAGCCTTGAACTCATCAGTCCTTCTACTTCACCCTTTCAAGTGCCTAGATCATAGCCCTACACATACCCAACTTATGGATAAGTATCTCAGCTTTGGTTTTCCAAAAAGCAGGGTCTGAAGCTTATGTGCAGATTAGAAAGTCATTCTCCCAAGCGTAAAAGGGAGAGCAGGTATGAAGGTATATTGTTAAACCAGCTGCTCTTCAGAACTTCTGTGGCTCCACACCTTGGAACTAAGAAGTGGTGTGAAATGGCTTATCTGATGAATAGTCATTTCAGGAGAAGAGACCTTGGTCTAGTAGCTTCCATCCCACACTGGGGTCACTTAACTCTTCTCTGCTATGTTTCCACACCTGTGTAGTCCCCGAAGGCATTAACAGTAAGAGCCTGGGAATGCTGGGCCTGAGGGAAGCCTGTCTGTCTCAACCGCAGTAATGACAGAGCAGGAGACAGGTGAATCAGGAGCTGAAATGGTTCAGCGGAAGTGTCTAATACACCAGTTTTGGGCCAAGCTCAAGTCACGACCAGGGCAGCCTGAGGAAAAGGTTGACTGTGTGTTCTGCAGTCTGAGTCAGCTTCATCCCTTCCTTTCTGGAGGGCTCTTCCAGGCTCCAGTGGGCCCAGAGCCCAGGGCCCAGTTCCATCCATTGCAAGCCACCAGAGCAGCTAAACTGTAGACACTGATTTCTCTGAACCCGAGTTAAGCCAGAGTGTGAATCTCCCAGGCCTCGATACTACAGAAAGGGAAACTGAGGCACAAGCAAGGTATGGCATGCATTTAGGCATCACACAGTTCTAGAGCTGGCATTGGAATCTAGGGCACTGCTTCCTGTACTTGGGCCCCAGGACACTGTCAACCCAGCTGGTGTAGGTTTAAACTCGGCCACCTGCAGAACTAGCCGTCTTGTCTCCTTTTCTTCAATGGGACACTTATGACTAGGAATGAGCCGAGCACACAGACCCATCCCAGGGAATATGCTTCCCCTTCTCAGTAGAGTCTCAACCACCTCTGGGTCCTAGGTTGGTTCAAGCTCCTGCCCCAGCCAGCAGGGCCCCCAGTCAGCAGCATTGCTGGTTCCATGCCAGGAATCTTTACCTGAAGACCCTGCTCCTGTACTTAAAGGCGCATTCCCCTCATTCATTCCAGGCAGCTGCTCCCTGCGCATCTGCATTCTCACCTTCCACCAACATTCTGGTTTCCTGTACATGACACTCTTGGAAAATCAAGTGTAGGAGCAAAGAGAAGCAGGGGATCTAGCTCTACCTGTGCTTTGGAAGATGGTGGGAAAGTTAGGGCTTTTCCATTCATGGGCAGGGGATGGTCTCAAATAGTTCAGTGCCCAGAGCCAAGTATCTCTTTCCCCCCCCCCACCTCCTGGGGCCACAGGGAGTGACGAATGAGAACTGGCACCTACCCAGAGGCATGATGTCATCATACTCAGAACCAGTGTCTACTTGCTAGGCTCTGTGCCCAGCCTGGCTTTGGGGCACCACTGCCCAACAATCCCTCACCCCATCCCACCAGGGCTCTGGCATTATGTGTTTTCAGACTTCAAGCTCCAGCTCAAGTCTAGGAAGAGAGGAACCAGATCACTACACTATCCTAGTTAACCAGATAATGTCCTTAATGTCAGCCGGAGGCTGGGTGGTTTGGGTGTTTGAGTTCTGGGTAAAGAGTTTGAATGTCTGAGTCCTTCCTGCTGAAGGTTCACTTGGAATGCTGGCTTTGCTCTTGGCCTGGGCCAAACCTTTGGCCTTCCTGGAGTGACTGCGGGTCCAGTGGCCATAATCTCTTATAAGCAGAAGACTAACTTTCAGGCACTGCTATGTCAAAAATGAACGGACCTGGGTGGACCTGTGGAGACGCCCCACCTCTCTCTGTAGATGGCCTGTTACCTGATACTGCTTCGGGCTTGACGGGTGCAGTTTAGGACCTTGACTTAAAGGTTTGGGCTAGGGGACACTCAGACAATGCTCACATGCGCTCTCGCGCTCTCTCTCTCTCTCTCTCTCTCTCTCTCTCTTCCTCCCTCCCTTTCCCCCTCCCCCCCCCCCGCGCCCCCCCCCCCTCCCCCCCGCCCTCCCCCTCCCCCCCCTTCCCCCTCTCCCTCTCCCTCTCCCTCTCCCTCTCCCGTCTCTTACATGTGGTGTAAAAGAAGTAACAGATGCCATACTGTGGCTGTCTGAGAGTCTGTACAAGTCACTTCCACTTCCCCAGAGGAGGGTTATCAAACACCCTAAGCAGTCAGCTACAGTCGGCACCTACTGTATAATGGATGCTCCTGAACTAAAGGGATGAATCCTTCCCTATCCCCTGTTGTTCACGAACCAGAGGCAGTCTGAATGCAAGCACATATTATGGGCTACTCCTCATCAATATGACATGGGACTCACCTCTGAAAACCAACAAACAAAACCCCATAATAGGGCTACCATTTACTCATGGATACTATAGAGAGGCCTTTTTCAATGGCTGAAGGCTTCCAGAACCATGGCGCTTGGTTTTTATTTCAGTTATGCCTTTAGCTTCTATGACTATTGGTAAGTTATGAAAAGAAAAAATATACACATCTCTATTTCCTAAGAATATTCCTGCCTGCCCTCCCTATGGGTAACAAGAAATAAAGGGAGTAGAAACCTGGCAATAAGTGCACGTTATTAAGTACACAATAAGCTTTTAATGTGTTTAAACATATGTATGCCTGTGTGTGCGTATGTGTACCACATCTGTGCCTAGTGCCCATAGAGACCACAAGAGGGCACTGGATCTCTTGAAATGGGTTAGAGATGGTTGTAAACTGCCGTGTGAGTACTGAAAACCAAGTCTGGGTCCTCTGCAAGAACTGTAAATGCTAATAACCACGGTCCAGCTCTTCAGCCCCATGTTTGAGTGTTTTCTATGTATTTTTTGTTGTTTTGCCTGAGACAAAGTTACCATATAGCTCAGGCATGCCTTGAAACCCACAATGGAGGCCGGCTCTCTTTGAGCTTGAAACAATCCTGTGCCTCTGCCTCCCAACTCCTGAGGTTACAGGTATGTGCCACTGTGCCTGCCCAGGAAACACCTTTGCTATGTGGTCCCTTTGAGCCGTCCCTAGGATAGGAGCCTTCGGTAGCCCATGGCCTCTGAGCCTGCCTCTGCCTTTTCTCTGATGTCTTTGTTCCCCTGGCTTGAGTTGATCCAAACTCTACTACCTTTGAGGTCACTTCCTGTCTCCAGGACTTCCTGGTTAGATGGACACATGGCTACCGACTTCTCAGATCTTTTGCGAGGATCCACTAATTCCTTTGTGAACTGTCACCGTATCAAAGTGGACTATTGTCCCTTCATCACCTGAGTGCCTGCAGGCTTCTCAGGGCCATTTTCCCCTTTGTGCGTGGCTTCAGTAGTCCAGGAGAGAGAGCTGGAGAGCGAGCCCTGAGCACACACCTGATGGCCATATAGTGAGAGGTGGTGGGGCTGAGGGAAGTGTTAACCCTGGGGCCAGGCAGCACATGTGGGTTCCCTGACAGCCTAATACCTTGAGCCTGACACATCTCCTCAGGTTGAGCATAAGAGTTCTCATGTTCGCTGGGTGGTGGTGGCGCATGCCTTTAATCCCAGCACTTGGGAGGCAGAGGCAGGCGGATTTCTGAGTTTGAGAGTTCGAGGCTAGCCTGGTCTACAGAGTGAGTTCCAGGACAGCCAGGGCTACACAGAGAAACCCTGTCTCGAGAAACCAAAAAAAAAAAAAAAAAAAAAATCATGTCCTTTCCCTCAAGCAAGCTTGTTGTTTGGAGCTGTAAGTTTTCGTTTGATTATTTTCTGAACACCTTTTAGGGTCTTGGTTAGGTGTGGGGAATGGAAACAACCATGTCTAAGCTTCTCCTTGGCCACCCACCCCTCACACCCAGGAATTCTGACATGTCCTAGGGGACACTGTGTCTGACTGTTTTGGGGGAGGTTCAGGGGAAGAGAGACTGACCTGGCTGGGCGGGATGATGAGGGAGAGGAAGAGACGCACTTGGTGGCCAGCTGCGCAGGTCACGTCGGGCTACCCATCCCCAGCTCTAGCTCCTAGCTTTCCCAGCTGCCTCTGATTAGGTTGCTCTGAGGAAGTGCAGTGGAGAAGGCGTGGGGAGCTGTATGTGCAGCCAGCATGGACGTCAGAGCCAGCCCCAGAACAAGGAATAGGGTTGACAGATGTGTTTGCCCAGTGCTAATTGAGGGCATCAGGACAGTGGTAGTTTCGGGGCTAGAGGGGACTCTCATTACTCACTGAGACGGATGGACGACCTGGAGATCATGCGGTCATTCCCAAGTGGCCCTGTGACTGTTTGTAAGAAATCGTCACACCATCATGACAAACTGGAGGCTCTAAATAGCGTTGATTCCAATTCTGTCTTGGCTTCGAGAAGTGGGTGTCGGTGCAGTTAGCGGGGTGGGAAGCAGGTGCAGAGGTCTGAAGGGAAATGGTTCTAAGTCCTATTGCCAACTCAAGGGTAAGAAAGGAGGGTCTGGGCTTGACTTCCTGTGTGTGTAATAGATGGCCAGGACTCTTCCCTGTGGAGGTGGCTTTTATTATCGAAACATTCTCTCTGGCACCATTTGAGCACATTTTAGAAAGATTTATCTATGCTGCTTTCTACCAATAAAGACCCCTAAGGTCAAAGCAAAAGACATTGGCCAGAGTCTTGCTTTGGGCTAGCAAGAGAGAACGTCTCTCATTATCCTGCGCATAATCTGCTAGTATTTTGGAGTCCTCAAAAGGACAGTGTCTAGGAGTCACACTACCTGCCTCTGTTGTACCAGCTGTGTGAAATTGTGGAGCTCCATTTCCACACCTCTAGAAGAAGAGTAGAAGTGGAATGTTCTAGAAGACCTTTTCCACACTTCTTAGCCGTGGAGTTTGGCTTTCATTCTTCTATCTGCATTCAGTCCTGGTTTCCTGCAACTTACTGTGCGTTTGTAGATCCTGGCCTGCTCATTCCAGTTCTAATGGTCTCACTATGTACTAACTAGTCTGGGACTCCCTGTGTAGCCCAGGCTGGCCTCTAACTCATAGCAGTCCTACCTCTGCCTTCCAAGTTCTGGGATGCCAGACATGCACCACCATACCCCTTATGTCCATGTCTGATAACACACATGAGAGATGTCACCGTCCTTGAGAAGCAGAGGGCTTCAAGGCAGCAAGAAGGGGCTGGTCATTTGCCAGAACAAAGCCCTAGGACTCAGAGTGCCAAGCCTCATTTGGTCAGCAGACTTTCCTTTTAGGGGATGTCCTGATATCACCTATGTACCTTGTACAGGGTCACTGATGGGCGTAGGTGACATTATCTCACAGCAACTGGTGGAGAGGCGGGGTCTCCAGCAACACCAGATAGGCCGAACCCTGACCATGGTATCCCTGGGCTGTGGCTTTGTGGTAAGTTCTGCTTGTAGTAGGGCTGCATTGCCCTGGCCGTGGAATTCATTCCTGTGGTTGCCATTGGCCTCTCCCACCTAGGTCAGCCTGCACCCTTTGTGGTCTTAGGTCTGCCTTCTTCAGGAGTTGGTTTCTGCTGCCTGGGGGAGAAGCTTTGTCTTATAAAAGTCACTGTGCCCTGCTGTTCTGTCTTACTCTCAGGGCCCTGTAGTTGGAGGCTGGTATAAAGTTTTGGACCACTTAATCCCTGGCACCACGAAGGTGGATGCAGTGAAGAAAATGTTGCTAGATCAGGTGAGCTAAGAGAATAGGATCTGGGGAAGGAGAGCCTGACCGGGCATCGGGTGCTCACAAAGCTTCCACTTGCTTCCTCTTCCCTAGGGGGGCTTTGCCCCATGTTTCCTAGGCTGCTTTCTCCCACTGGTAGGGATACTCAATGGAATGTCAGCCCAGGACAATTGGGCCAAACTGAAGCGGGTGAGTGGATCTCTGCCTAGCAGGCTGGCTGCCCCAAAGTTAGGAGACAGGCAGCAGTGATGTACCAGGAAAGTCTCGAGCTCAGGAGGAAAGGAGCCTAGGGGGGATTGGGCCAGGAGTGTCTTCTTGGAACAGAATGTGTGTGAAATCCATGCAGGAATGTGGCAGCTCCTTGGATATATAAGTGTTAACTGTTCCCTCCCTGTCTTTGCAGGACTACCCTGATGCCCTCATCACCAACTACTATGTAAGAGTTGACCCGTCCACTAGCTGTTCTGTCTCCTTCAGTCCAGAAATGCCCTGAGTTTGGGGTCCTCACAGTGTAGGAATGCCTCTGTTAGGGTCACTTTCTCATTCCCCACAAGGAAGCACCTGCCTTCAGCCTTTTCTTATGAAGATGGTGGCATGGGGCCAGGCAGGACAGGAGTCTGGGTATCATGTAAGGAGCAACTACTGACCTTCTCATTTTCTTCTTCCAGCTCTGGCCTGCTGTGCAGTTAGCCAACTTCTACCTGGTCCCCCTGAATTACAGGTATGACAAATCCTTTTCTCACCCTTGAAAGAAGATCTCAGTATCTCAGAGAGAAAATGGTAGCCATCCCAACCTTGACCTACTGTAGGACTTCAGCTAGTAACACTATGCCCTGGTCAGTCCTCAGAGTCTCAGGATCTACAGAACCTGAGAGCTTTTATGGAGGCCATCTGAGAGTGTCCCTGGCTGACCTGCCAGCTCCCTTGGGAAGCGTCTGCTCCTGCAAACCTTGTTTCCACCTGAGTTCCATGTTTGGTGGCTCATCTGCAGGCACAGTGCCTGGCTCTGGTACCTTGGCAGCCTAAGTTAGACAGGAAGGTAGACTCAAGGCTAAGTAGGAACCTTATCTGGTTAGCTCATGGTGGAGGTTTATTTCGTCTTGGTAATAAAGCTTGTTGCTGAACAGCAATAAAAAAAGTATTTAAAAGTTCTGAAGAGGTGGTCCAGTGATTAAGAGAACTAAAACTTGCTGCTCTATCAGAGATCAAGGTTAGATTCTTAGCACCTACATGGTGTCTCACAACCATATGTAACTCCATTCCTGGAGGATCCTACATCCTGTGCTGGCTTCCCTGGGTTCTGCATACACGTACATGCAGGCAAAATATCCATAAATATAAAATAAAATAAGTAAATCTAAAATAAAAATTCAAGAGTGACATTCAAAGGGGCTGGAAAAATGCTCACAGAGGAGGGATCTTGAGAGCACAGGAAATATGAAACTCTCCGGATATCATGTGGTTGACAGGTACACAAACAGCTTAGCTAGAAGGAATGCAGACTTCTGAGCTAATCCTAAACATCAGGGTCTTTGGTAGCACTCTCAAACTAAAGCAAGGTCAGCCACTTCAAGCCTTTAATCCCAGAACTCAAAAGGCAGAGGAAGGTGGATCTCTGTTACTGATGCCAACCTGGTCTACAGAATGAGCTCCAGGACAGCTGGAGCTACATAGAGATAGGGCCCTCCTGAGACATATCAGCTCCTGCCTCAAAAACCTTTTATGTGTCTGTTTATGAATGTGTAGCCTTCATAAGTTTGTGTGCACCCCATGTATGCATGGTGCCCATGGAGGTCAGAAGACAGTATCAGATCCTTGGAACTGAATTTACGTACAGTTATGGGCCACCATGTAGGTACTAGGAACCAAACCCAGGTTCTCTGCAAGAGCAATTAGTGCTGTTGATGTCTCCAGCCACTCAAAAGAAAAAAGTTTTAAAGACAAAATATAATTTAAATAAATAAAATAACATAAATACAAAATTTAAAGTATTTATTTATTTATCTATTTATTTATTTATTTATTGGTTTTTTCGAGACAGGGTTTCTCTGTGTAGCCCTGGCTGTCCTGGAACTCACTCTGTAGACCAGGCTAGCCTCGAACTCTCGAACTCAGAAATCCACCTGCCTCTGCCTCCCAAGTGCTGGGATTAAAGGCGTGCGCCACCACCGTCCGGTTTAAAAAAAAAAATTGCTGGATAGCGTATGCCTTTAGTCCCAGCACTCAGAAGTAAAGACAGTTGGATCTTTATGAGTTTGAGGCTAGCCTGATCTGCAGAGCAAGTTTCCATGCTAGCCAAGGCTATAGAGTGAGCCTGTCTCAAATCAAGTAAACAAGTTGTTTTGTTTTTTGTTTTCTTAATGTGTGTGGCTATGTACATGTGTGAGCAGGGCACAGACACAATCATTGAGCCATCTTGCCAGATCCAACAACGGACTCTTTCCACCTCTCCGTAGACCAGCTTTCAGTGCTAATAATTTCTGTCTCTTAGTTTCCAGGATGGACACAAGATCAATTCTTAGTCAAATTCTGTGAGCCTTTTCTGTAGCCAGCTTGACTTCTGCATCTTAAGCCAAAATTCAGGGAGAGTCACACTATGGTGGCGGCTTTAGAGTGGGCTGGAACTGATCTGTAAGACGCACAGTATAAGCCTCGGCTAAGCAAGCCTGCAATGCAACTTTCCTGTGATTGTCCTTTCCACTGTGTGGGGTTGTTGGTCCTTAGGTTGGGGGAAGGAAGATATTTTTGTTCCTGTCTTTAACCCATAGCTTTGCATAACATCAGATACAAAATGAGCAATCCAGCATACGCTGTAACTTTCTTTCTTTCTTTTTTTTTTACGATTTTATTTATTTATTTTATATATATGACAAGTACATTGTAGCTGTCTTCAGACACACCAGAAGAGGGCATCAGATCCCACTACAGATGGTTGTGAGCCACCATGTGGTTGCTGGGAATTGAACTATAGGACCTCTGGAAAAGCAGTCAGTGCTCTTAACCACTGAGCCATCTCTCCAGCCTGTAACTTTCTTGAGGCTGAGAACTAGATGGATCTGGGGAAGACAATGTTGTCAAGGGCTGTGCAAGATCATGCATCCTGACTCTTACTAGCAGAAGCAGTTTCCCGGAATCATCCAGCTAATTGTGGTTTCATGCCTTTTGTTTATGAGACAGAATCTCTCTACATAGTCCTGGCTGTCTTAGAACCCATTCTGTAGATCCACCTGCCTCTGCCTCCTGAGTGCTGGGATAAAAGGCATGTGCCACCATGTCCAGCCTTTCTTTTCTTTTCTCTCCTTTTCTTTTTTTAGACAGGGCCTCATTCATCTTGGGCTGCCCTCAAACTCTCTATGTAGCTGAGGATGACCTCAGACTTCCTATGGAGCAGATCCTCCTGCCTCTACCTCCCAAGTGCACCACTGTGCCTCTGGGGATCAAACCTGACCCAGCACTCTACCAACTGAGCCACATCCCAGCCCTGGTTTCAGTTTCTCTGACCCTGCTCAGCACTTGATGTGTGTGCCTCTTCCCAGGATTAGAGAGACGCTCTCATGGCCCAGTGTATATTTTATGCCATATCCCACTATTTGGGAGACAGAGGCAGGTAGCTAGACATTCAAGGCCAGTTTTGGGAATTGGAGGAGGAATGCTTGTAATCCTAGCACTTGGGAGGTCAAGGCAGGAGGATCAGGAGTTCAAGGTTATCTTCCATTCACATGAAATTTGAGACAAGCATACATGATCTTGCCAAACATACACTCACATGCACATGCATACACAGCATCTTACATGTGCTCATAAATGCCCAAGCTGGAGGACACTGGCTATACAGCCAGTCTCTTGCCTACAAGACAGCATTCCTGTCAAAGCTCCATGTTGGACTCCATTGAGGATCAATAGTGATGAGGCCTGCGCCAAAGTGAGGCTCTGTGTGCAGGGACACTCAAGGAGCGGAGTGGAGGGGTGAGGCAGAGGCCAGATGCAGAGAAGAGCTAATGTCCCCATGTAAGCCCACCACTTGCCTTCCCTGTTGCCTCCCTACACTGTCCTGTCACCTGTCTTCGCAGGCCTCGAACCCTCTGTGGCAATCCCGGGGCTCCACAACGGTGTCTTCGGGAGGACGTTTCCGCTGCCCATCTTGTCGGCACGAGGTTGTCCTGGACAGGCACGGGGTCTACGGCCTGCAGCGGAACCTGCTGGTGGAAAACATTATTGACATCTACAAACAGGAATCCTCCCGGTAAGACACCTGGCTGCTCGCCTATCCTCCAGAAAGACGCCTGGCCACTTGCCTCTCTGGAGGGAAGAGCTTGCACCCTCGGGGATAGAGGGCTTGTCTTAGGGTTTCTATTGCTATAGTGGAACACTGCGATCAGAGACAACGTAGGAAGGGAGCGGCTTACTCGACTTACACTTCCACATCATAGTCATTACTGAAGTCACAACATAGTCATTACTGAAGAAGTCAGGACAGGAACTCAAGCAGGGCAGGAACCGGAAGGCAGGAGCTGATGCAGAGGCCATAGAGTGTGGGGCTGCTTACCGGCTTGCTCCTCATGGCTTGCTCAGCCTGCTTTCTTATAGAACTGAGGACTTCTTGCCCAGGAATGGCACCACCCACAGTGGACTGGATCCTCCCTTCCCCATCACACTAATTAAGAATATGCCCCTTGGCCCTGCCTATAACCCCATCTTATGGAGAGGCATTTTCTTGCTTGTGGTTCCCTCCGCTCAGATGATTTTAGCCTGTGTAAGCTTACTCGCCCCGATGAGAACAATGGGGAAAGGGAGGCCTGACTTTGCCTCTGGAACCAGTATTCAATCTTACTCCCTCCTCCTGGTCTGGGACCAAAGTCCACCCCAATGTCTGACCTCATCACCTCCCATGACTTCCTGCCCTGTGCGACATCGTTGTCCCCTGCGATGGACTCTTCCTAGGTCCAGGCCTCCTTTGAGCATCCCTTCCCCAAAGTGTGAACACTATGTAAGTTGCCTACCACTGGTCACAGCCTGGCTGCCTGACCACAGCCGCTGCCTTGCCCTTGGTCCTCAGGCCACTGCACTCCAAGGCCGAGCAGCAGCTCATGTGTGAAGAGCACGAGGACGAGAAGATTAACATCTACTGTCTGAGCTGTGAGGTGCCCACCTGCTCTCTCTGCAAGGTCTTCGGTGCCCACAAGGACTGTGAGGTGGCCCCTCTGCCCACCATTTACAAACGCCAGAAGGTATCTCTAGTCAGGGAGGGATTGGGGAGAGGGTTTAGGACAAGGCAGTTCTCACTGTACTTAGGTTAGTGGTAGCTGATCAGGGCAACTCCCCAGCTCTGCTCTTGACTCTGCACACAACCCTGAGGCAGTTGCCTGACCTCCCTGGCCCTGCCTGCCCTCTCTGGTTGCTATCATCTCAGCATCAGCTGGTTAATACATGACGGGAGCTACTTCAGGGCGGTATCCACCTAAGGACTAGATACGCTCAAGAGTGTAGCTTCTAGATATGCTGCAATTTTTTTTAAAGGTTTTTATTTATTATATGTAAGATACCTCATAAGACGGCATCAAATCCCAGCAAACACATGGAGGCTCACAACCATCCACAATGGGATTTGATGCCGTCTTATGAGGTATCTTACATATAATAAATAAAAACCTTTAAAAAAAATTGCAGCATATCTAGAAGCTACACTCTTGAGCGTATCTAGTCCTTAGGTGGATACCGCCCTGAAGTAGCTCCCGTCATGTATTAACCAGCTGATGCTGAGATGATAGCAACCAGAGAGGGCAGGCAGGGCCAGGGAGGTCAGGCAACTGCCTCAGGGTTGTGTGCAGAGTCAAGAGCAGAGCTGGGGAGTTGCCCTGATCAGCTACCACTAACCTAAGTACAGTGAGAACTGCCTTGTCCTAAACCCTCTCCCCAATCCCTCCCTGACTAGAGATACCTTCTGGCGTTTGTAAATGGTGGGCAGAGGGGCCACCTCACAGTCCTTGTGGGCACCGAAGACCTTGCAGAGAGAGCAGGTGGGCACCTCACAGCTCAGACAGTAGATGTTAATCTTCTCGTCCTCGTGCTCTTCACACATGAGCTGCTGCTCGGCCTTGGAGTGCAGTGGCCTGAGGACCAAGGGCAAGGCAGCGGCTGTGGTCAGGCAGCCAGGCTGTGACCAGTGGTAGGCAACTTACATAGTGTTCACACTTTGGGGAAGGGATGCTCAAAGGAGGCCTGGACCTAGGAAGAGTCCATCGCAGGGGACAACGATGTCGCACAGGGCAGGAAGTCATGGGAGGTGATGAGGTCAGACATTGGGGTGGACTTTGGTCCCAGACCAGGAGGAGGGAGTAAGATTGAATACTGGTTCCAGAGGCAAAGTCAGGCCTCCCTTTCCCCATTGTTCTCATCGGGGCGAGTAAGCTTACACAGGCTAAAATCATCTGAGCGGAGGGAACCACAAGCAAGAAAATGCCTCTCCATAAGATGGGGTTATAGGCAGGGCCAAGGGGCATATTCTTAATTAGTGTGATGGGGAAGGGAGGATCCAGTCCACTGTGGGTGGTGCCATTCCTGGGCAAGAAGTCCTCAGTTCTATAAGAAAGCAGGCTGAGCAAGCCATGAGGAGCAAGCCGGTAAGCAGCCCCACACTCTATGGCCTCTGCATCAGCTCCTGCCTTCCGGTTCCTGCCCTGCTTGAGTTCCTGTCCTGACTTCTTCAGTAATGACTATGTTGTGACTTCAGTAATGACTATGATGTGGAAGTGTAAGTCGAGTAAGCCGCTCCCTTCCTACGTTGTCTCTGATCGCAGTGTTCCACTATAGCAATAGAAACCCTAAGACAAGCCCTCTATCCCCGAGGGTGCAAGCTCTTCCCTCCAGAGAGGCAAGTGGCCAGGCGTCTTTCTGGAGGATAGGCGAGCAGCCAGGTGTCTTACCGGGAGGATTCCTGTTTGTAGATGTCAATAATGTTTTCCACCAGCAGGTTCCGCTGCAGGCCGTAGACCCCGTGCCTGTCCAGGACAACCTCGTGCCGACAAGATGGGCAGCGGAAACGTCCTCCCGAAGACACCGTTGTGGAGCCCCGGGATTGCCACAGAGGGTTCGAGGCCTGCGAAGACAGGTGACAGGACAGTGTAGGGAGGCAACAGGGAAGGCAAGTGGTGGGCTTACATGGGGACATTAGCTCTTCTCTGCATCTGGCCTCTGCCTCACCCCTCCACTCCGCTCCTTGAGTGTCCCTGCACACAGAGCCTCACTTTGGCGCAGGCCTCATCACTATTGATCCTCAATGGAGTCCAACATGGAGCTTTGACAGGAATGCTGTCTTGTAGGCAAGAGACTGGCTGTATAGCCAGTGTCCTCCAGCTTGGGCATTTATGAGCACATGTAAGATGCTGTGTATGCATGTGCATGTGAGTGTATGTTTGGCAAGATCATGTATGCTTGTCTCAAATTTCATGTGAATGGAAGATAACCTTGAACTCCTGATCCTCCTGCCTTGACCTCCCAAGTGCTAGGATTACAAGCATTCCTCCTCCAATTCCCAAAACTGGCCTTGAATGTCTAGCTACCTGCCTCTGTCTCCCAAATAGTGGGATATGGCATAAAATATACACTGGGCCATGAGAGCGTCTCTCTAATCCTGGGAAGAGGCACACACATCAAGTGCTGAGCAGGGTCAGAGAAACTGAAACCAGGGCTGGGATGTGGCTCAGTTGGTAGAGTGCTGGGTCAGGTTTGATCCCCAGAGGCACAGTGGTGCACTTGGGAGGTAGAGGCAGGAGGATCTGCTCCATAGGAAGTCTGAGGTCATCCTCAGCTACATAGAGAGTTTGAGGGCAGCCCAAGATGAATGAGGCCCTGTCTAAAAAAAGAAAAGGAGAGAAAAGAAAAGAAAGGCTGGACATGGTGGCACATGCCTTTTATCCCAGCACTCAGGAGGCAGAGGCAGGTGGATCTACAGAATGGGTTCTAAGACAGCCAGGACTATGTAGAGAGATTCTGTCTCATAAACAAAAGGCATGAAACCACAATTAGCTGGATGATTCCGGGAAACTGCTTCTGCTAGTAAGAGTCAGGATGCATGATCTTGCACAGCCCTTGACAACATTGTCTTCCCCAGATCCATCTAGTTCTCAGCCTCAAGAAAGTTACAGGCTGGAGAGATGGCTCAGTGGTTAAGAGCACTGACTGCTTTTCCAGAGGTCCTATAGTTCAATTCCCAGCAACCACATGGTGGCTCACAACCATCTGTAGTGGGATCTGATGCCCTCTTCTGGTGTGTCTGAAGACAGCTACAATGTACTTGTCATATATATAAAATAAATAAATAAAATCGTAAAAAAAAAAGAAAGAAAGAAAGTTACAGCGTATGCTGGATTGCTCATTTTGTATCTGATGTTATGCAAAGCTATGGGTTAAAGACAGGAACAAAAATATCTTCCTTCCCCCAACCTAAGGACCAACAACCCCACACAGTGGAGAGGACAATCACAGGAAAGTTGCATTGCAGGCTTGCTTAGCCGAGGCTTATACTGTGCGTCTTACAGATCAGTTCCAGCCCACTCTAAAGCCGCCACCATAGTGTGACTCTCCCTGAATTTTGGCTTAAGATGCAGAAGTCAAGCTGGCTACAGAAAAGGCTCACAGAATTTGACTAAGAATTGATCTTGTGTCCATCCTGGAAACTAAGAGACAGAAATTATTAGCACTGAAAGCTGGTCTACGGAGAGGTGGAAAGAGTCCGTTGTTGGATCTGGCAAGATGGCTCAATGATTGTGTCTGTGCCCTGCTCACACATGTACATAGCCACACACATTAAGAAAACAAAAAACAAAACAACTTGTTTACTTGATTTGAGACAGGCTCACTCTATAGCCTTGGCTAGCATGGAAACTTGCTCTGCAGATCAGGCTAGCCTCAAACTCATAAAGATCCAACTGTCTTTACTTCTGAGTGCTGGGACTAAAGGCATACGCTATCCAGCAATTTTTTTTTAAACCGGACGGTGGTGGCGCACGCCTTTAATCCCAGCACTTGGGAGGCAGAGGCAGGTGGATTTCTGAGTTAGAGGCCAGCCTGGTCTACAGAGTGAGTTCCAGGACAGCCAGGGCTACACAGAGAAATCCTGTCTCAAAAAAAAAAAAAAAAAAGATGGCTCAATGATAAAGGTGCTCGCCACCAAACCTGATGCTCTGAGTTGATCCCTGAGACCCACTTTGTAGGAGAGCCCACTGACTCCACACACATTCTGTGGCACCCACACATACCTGTAAGTAAATAAATGTATAAAATAAACAGAAGGATCATCTTTGGGGAGAAGACTGACAGAGATGCCTCCGTTCCTTTCTTTTTAGTAAGAGATTGTCTGAGATGGCAAGATCCATAGTGTAATGACCATGTAGTTGTGCCTGCTTCTGGCTGGGTCGAGCCAGCTGTGTTCTGGATTTGTAGATGCAAAGATTTGGTGCAGTTTTAGGAACGGTAGGGCCATGCCCTCTGTCCCCATTGTTTCCTTTTCTCCTATTTGAGTACAGACTCATGCTGAGGGGCCATCCTGAGTCAGGATGGAGCAGACACACATTCAGAGTGCTGAGGATGTCCAAGGTGCAATTGTCTTGGGAGGCAATCCTTTGGAGAAAAGCAAGGGCCTATCTTGCTAAGCAACTGCTCATTTGAGACATGGGAGTGATATTAGTGGTCTAACTCAGAACTTGTGAATATTACATATCCTATTCCCGAGCTATAGCCCTGGCACTTAAAGTCAGTTGTTTGGAGTTTCCTTCCATTTAAGGTAAAACCACAACCTGATCAGCTAGAGCAGTGGTTCTCAACCTGTGGGTCGTGACCCCTTTGTGGGTTGAGCGACCCTTTCGTAAGGTTGCCTAAGAGCATCGGAAAACACAGATAATTACATTGTGATTCATAAGACTAGAAAAATTAGTTATGAAGTAGCAATGAGAATAACTGTATGGTGGGGGGGTCGCCATGACTTGAGGGACTGTATTAAAGGGTCTCAGCATTAGGAAAGGAGAGGCAGTGGACAAGAGACCATGACTGCATAGAAAACAGTGGAAATAGTAGTCACTGTTGACTTTGCATGTTTGTGAGTATTTTGTACCAGTGGGCCCCTGGCAACTCTAAATCCATGTGTGCCAACTGGAAGGTGGGATCAGAAGACTCTTTTCTTTTGTTTTTCGAGACAGGGTTTCTCTGTGTAGCCCTGGTTGTCCTGGAACTCACTCTGTAGACCAGGCTGGCCTCGAACTCAGAAATCCACCTGCCTCTGCCTCCCAAGTGCTGGGATTAAAGGCGAGCGCCACCACTGCCCTGCCAGAAGACTCTTAGTGGCTAAGACATCTTAGTAGAATATGCCGTCACAGACAGCACAAAAGTGCTCCAAGTCTCCTTCTTTTCTCTGGTGACCATGCAGGAAATGTGGCCCTACCAAGATGGACAGCTTTGTTTGTGGAGAACAGAGAGCATTGCTGTAAACACAGTTCTTCTTGGGATTTCTTGAGAGCCACAAAGCTGGAACAGGTGGGTTTGAGATTACTGAAGGCTGGGCGGGGAATCTGTCTTTCTTATTTCCTCTTAGGATTTTATGAACACTGGCAAGTTTACACAATGTTTGAAGGGCGTGGTCACGGGTGTGAACTGAAGTTGGAAGCTGTGGAGAGCCATGCCTCTTATAAAGATTAACTGAACCCGGGCAGTGGTGGCGCACGCCTTTAATCCCAGCACTCGGGAGGCAGAGGTGGGCAGATTTGTGAGTTCGAGGCCATCCTGGTCTACAGAGTGAGTTCCAGGACAGCCAGGGCTATACAGAGAAACCCCCATCTTGAAAAATCAAAAACCCAAAACCAAAAAAAACAAAAACAAAAACAAAACAAGAATTAAACAACAAAAAAAGATTAACTGGCTGGGAACGCCCATGAGTGTGGGGAGTTGCAATGGTGCAGATTCGCAGCCAAATTATCTTGGTTTTAGTTCTCTTAATAACCATTCATTACTCACCCCTGTGTTTGGCCTAATATCCATCCCTGTGGCTACTAGGCAAATCCCTTCTGTAATATACAGACATACGACTAGTTTCCACTACCCCCAAAATTAGAAACATCATTCTATGATACCCAAAGGCTGCTAACAAGATTTCAGTGCTTGGCTATAACCTCCCCTTACCTGATATTTCCACTAAAATATTTTTAATTAATTAATTAACTGATTAATTAATTTAGAGGCAGCTTCTTACTATGTAGCTCTAGCTCTCCTGGAACTCACTATGTAGTCCAGGCTAGCCTCGAACTTACAGAGATCTGTCTCTGTCTCTGTCTCTGTCTCTGCCTTTGCTTCTCTCTCCCTTTCTGCCTCTCTGCCTCTCTCTGCCTCTCTGCCTCTGCCTCTCTGCCTCTGCCTCTCTGCCTCTCTGCCTCTGTCTCTGCCTCTGCCTCCTAAGTGCTGGGATCAAAGGCATGCACCACGGCTGCCCAGCTCCACTAAGGTACTTTGTAAAAGTCTTGATTTATAACTTTTTGGTTCTGCTACTGTAGACACTTTATAAGGACCAGGGAAAAGGGGTGCCTGATAATCCGAGTCCTATCCCCTGGACCAGTGATGGGAGGAGAACCAACCACTACAAGTTTGACCTCTTGCCCCCCCCCACTGAATATGCACACACAATAAATAATGGAAATGTCATAAAAAACTTCTGAAAATAATAAGAGCTTTCATGAAACTCCCACCATGTTGGAACATGTTGGGATAACTTGATCTCTGTTCCCAAGCCTTCCTCACTCATAATTGCTTCCAGGATAAACTTTCTTATTGCCCTTTAGGTGAGAGCTATGTTTTGTTTTGTTTTTTTCCTGCTCAGTACAGTAACCTATCAGTATTTAGAACCCGAATAGATGGTGCAGGAGCGAGAGAGCTCTAACCCTGCACATCCTGGAGGGAGCTGAGTCTCTTGACTAAAGCTGGCACTCAGTAAAGGCTTGAAGGGAGGAGACGACCCTCCCGCTCACAGCAAAGACAAACGGGTAGCCTCTGGCCCTCCCGTTGTCCTTCCTCTTCTTCTTTTTTTTTTTAAGATTTATTTATTTATTTTTATAT